CTTAAACGGATGTTCTATACATCATACATCTACAGTTTTAATGACTCCAAAAATATCTAATAGAAATAAAGTATTAGAATCACCAAACATCGATTGATTTGCAGGATGTAATAATTACGTATCAAACGCGCTCGTGGCGGAATATTCTAGACGCCAATAAGTACAAGTCCCATGGTCGATAAACATATTAATATTCAATGCACTACGTATCACTTATCTGTATAAAGCAAATTGGGCGCGGCATACAGCATTCACTGTGTCATAAATGTGATGAGCACGTAAGATCTTAATTGTACGTATTGTATCTTCGATATCTGAAATACTAACTCATGATCGAGAGCTATATATAGCTTGGACATTATAAACATAAATAAGTTCGACATGTCTAGTTTGCTTTGGCGAGATTTATAACTAACGTTTGATCAAATTCTGCTTTCCCGGCCAAATTTGGCTCCAAATAATGGCAAATAATGGCAAGTAAAGATGAATACTGACTAAGAACTAAGTAGCTACTATACTCGATAAAATTTTAAGTCAACGATTACAAGTTGCATTAATTAAATCATTCTGAAATAACAGACAGTCAAGAATCAAAACGGACGATAACATTTTTGATGTGAATTAGGGCGTGTGGTGTATAATGTGGACTGATAGATTATAGACACTAATTATAGCTCCACAACTCTATTTAAATACAAGAACTAGGAAATACTTTCACCTTATCGCAGATACAGATTATACGATAAGGACTGTGATGTATAATCAACGCTTAAACGGATGTTCTATACATCATACATCTACAGTTTTAATGACTCCAAAAATATCTAATAGAAATAAAGTATTAGAATCACCAAACATCGATTGATTTGCAGGATGTAATAATTACGTATCAAACGCGCTCGTGGCGGAATATTCTAGACGCCAATAAGTACAAGTCCCATGGTCGATAAACATATTAATATTCAATGCACTACGTATCACTTATCTGTATAAAGCAAATTGGGCGCGGCATACAGCATTCACTGTGTCATAAATGTGATGAGCACGTGAGATCTTAATTGTACGTATTGTATCTTCGATATCTGAAATAATAACTCATCGAGAGCTATATATAGCTTGGACATTATAAACATAAATTATAAGTTCGACATGTCTAGTTTGCTTTGGTGAGATTTATAACTAACGTTTGATCAAATTCTGCTTTCCGGCCAAATTTGGCTCCAAAGAAAGTGTGATAAAACATTAATCACATGCCTTCTCATGCGATATCAACATTTTCAAAACTCGGCAAGCCTCGTGATTGAAAATGTCGATATAACCCTCGGCAAGCCTCGGGAAATATCGAAACTTTCGCTAACTCGGCAAGCCTCGTGGGCGAAAGTTTTGATATCGCATGAGAAGGCATGTGATAAATGTATATTATCACACTTTCGAGCCAAATTTGGCAGGAAAGCAGAATTGATATTACATGCCCCGTTGGGGAGCACTGGCTCTCACCCGGGGGCATGAAATATCAATCAGTTGCTCAGAGAGAGCCCGATATTCCCATAGGAACAAGGAGCCCACTCTCAACAACTGTTCTACTACTGTGAGGTACTGATTTAAATAAAGATTTAAATCAACAACCTGAAGTAGTCTATGACCGTAAATGCAATGATCAGATGAAATTTCCAGGATCGGGAAAAATTTATATCTATACCTGGTTTTAAAAATATTTCCTTGCGTTTGAGATGTGTCAAGCGAAATAAAATTTTTTGTTGTAAAACTTTTTTAAGCTGTTCCTTTTTTACTGCACTTCATAGTTCAAAGTCTAATTAGGCTTCGGATGATGAAACTAAGTAAAAACTTCCTGGCTTGTACGAGCTTTAAATGACTTAAGGTTACTGAAAACGAGATCAAAGTTTACAAGCAGACTTGAAAGTTGCACAAAGTTTTGGTACTTGTCAGCGATACAATCAATCAGGCTTATTAATTTCCTTAATCGCTTACTTGAAATTAAAAAGGAAGTGTTAGAACAAACTACAGTCACCCTCACAAAAAACAGTAAACACTAAACGATGTTTGATTAATTCGAACGAAGAAAACACACAAAACAAAGCCAGATTTCAGCCATTTCAGACCTCAATTTTAACCCCCTCTGATCCCTTCTTTGAGCCATATTCCATATAGAAATTGTGCAGAAATTAAACTAGGCTTTTCCAAACCGGTTTCGCCTAGATTAGCTTGCGAAATTCGTGGCTGATCTATAAACAGACTGATAAAGAGATTTATAGATTCTGTACAATAAAGAGCGAAAATTCTATCCCAGGACCAGTTTGAATTTTAGTTAGTGCAAATAAGTGCAATAAAAACATCCTATAAAATATATTATCTATATAAATATATCAAGCGACGAATGACGTAACTTAATCAGCTAATCTGGTTAGTGGTTATAAATCAGTCTGGGCACTGTGGCAAACAGGTCCGATGATTAATGTGCTGCCATTCTTTAGACCAATTCAATATTGGTAACAGTACGGGTGAACTACCTGGCCATGACCAGGGTGGTTATAGGCTGGTGGAGTACTGCGTTCTAAAATGTTGAAGAGATACATTTAATTATTACAACTGTTCTGATAATTTCCAGTTCAGATGATTTCTAGCGAAGCAGATTATGGCAAATAATGGCAAGTAAAGATGAATACTGACTAAGAACTAAGTAGCTACTATACTCGATAAAATTCTAAGTCAACGATTACAAGTTGCATTGATTAAATCATTCTGAAATAACAGACAATCAAGAATCAAGACGGACGATGATATTGTTCATGTAAATTAGGGTGTGTAGTGTATAATGTGGACTGATAAATAGCCCACTGCAGCTCTATTCAAATACAAGAACTAGGAAATTCTTTCACCTTATCGCAGATACAGATTATACGATAAGGACTGTGATGTATAATCAACGCTTAAACGGATGTTCTATACATCATACATCTACAGTTTTAATGACTCCAAAAATATCTAATAGAAATAAAGTATTAGAATCACCAAACATCGATTGATTTGCAGGATGTAATAATTACGTATCAAACGCGCTCGTGGCGGAATATTCTAGACGCCAATAAGTACAAGTCCCATGGTCGATAAACATATTAATATTCAATGCACTACGTATCACTTATCTGTATAAAGCAAATTGGGCGCGGCATACAGCATTCACTGTGTCATAAATGTGATGAGCACGTAAGATCTTAATTGTACGTATTGTATCTTCGATATCTGAAATACTAACTCATGATCGAGAGCTATATATAGCTTGGACATTATAAACATAAATAAGTTCGACATGTCTAGTTTGCTTTGGCGAGATTTATAACTAACGTTTGATCAAATTCTGCTTTCCCGGCCAAATTTGGCTCCAAATAATGGCAAATAATGGCAAGTAAAGATGAATACTGACTAAGAACTAAGTAGCTACTATACTCGATAAAATTTTAAGTCAACGATTACAAGTTGCATTAATTAAATCATTCTGAAATAACAGACAGTCAAGAATCAAAACGGACGATAACATTTTTGATGTGAATTAGGGCGTGTGGTGTATAATGTGGACTGATAGATTATAGACACTAATTATAGCTCCACAACTCTATTTAAATACAAGAACTAGGAAATACTTTCACCTTATCGCAGATACAGATTATACGATAAGGACTGTGATGTATAATCAACGCTTAAACGGATGTTCTATACATCATACATCTACAGTTTTAATGACTCCAAAAATATCTAATAGAAATAAAGTATTAGAATCACCAAACATCGATTGATTTGCAGGATGTAATAATTACGTATCAAACGCGCTCGTGGCGGAATATTCTAGACGCCAATAAGTACAAGTCCCATGGTCGATAAACATATTAATATTCAATGCACTACGTATCACTTATCTGTATAAAGCAAATTGGGCGCGGCATACAGCATTCACTGTGTCATAAATGTGATGAGCACGTGAGATCTTAATTGTACGTATTGTATCTTCGATATCTGAAATAATAACTCATCGAGAGCTATATATAGCTTGGACATTATAAACATAAATTATAAGTTCGACATGTCTAGTTTGCTTTGGTGAGATTTATAACTAACGTTTGATCAAATTCTGCTTTCCGGCCAAATTTGGCTCCAAAGAAAGTGTGATAAAACATTAATCACATGCCTTCTCATGCGATATCAACATTTTCAAAACTCGGCAAGCCTCGTGATTGAAAATGTCGATATAACCCTCGGCAAGCCTCGGGAAATATCGAAACTTTCGCTAACTCGGCAAGCCTCGTGGGCGAAAGTTTTGATATCGCATGAGAAGGCATGTGATAAATGTATAATATAACAGTACATACTTGTTAGCCATACTGGAGTTGCAGATGTAGATATGTAATAATATTGCAGTACATACTTGTTAGCCATACTGGAGTTGCAGATGTAGATATGTAATAATATATCAGTACATACTTGTTAGCCATACTGGAGTTGCAGATGTAGATATGTAATAATATATCAGTACATACTTGTTAGCCATACTGGAGTTGCAGATGTAGATATGTAATAATATAACAGTACATACTTGTTAGCCATACTGGAGTTGCAGATGTAGATATGTAATATTATATCAGTACATACTTGTTAGCCATACTGGAGTTGCAGATGTAGATATGTAATAATATATCAGTACATACTTGTTAGCCATACTGGAGTTGCAGATGTAGATATGTAATAATATAACAGTACATACTTGTTAGCCATACTGGAGTTGCAGATGTAGATATGTAATAATATAACAGTACATACTTGTTAGCCATACTGGAGTTGCAGATGTAGATATGTAATAATATATCAGTACAACGTATCTAGTATAACATAGCACTAGGTATAGTACATAATATATTGCAGTAGAATGTATCTAGTATAACATAGCACTAGGTATAGTACATAATAATATATCAGTACAATGTACATACTTGTTAGCCATACTGGAGTTGCAGGTGTAGATATGTATAGCAGCCCCGTATCGAGTACACGGGTCCCCAGCCCCTCCCAACGTGTGTATACCCTGGGGTTATAACTGTTAAATGTTTGGATACCTAAAGTATAAACAATTCACGGGTGAGTGTTACTTTAGAGTCAACCTACTTTAAATATAATAGAGGTTCAGCTCTCGACTGAGTTAACCTACTTTAAATATAATAGAGGTTCAGCTCTCGACTGAGTCAACCTATTTTAAATATAATAGAGGTTCAGCTCTCGACTGAGTCAACCTACTTTAAATATAATAGAGGTTCAGCTCTCGACTGAGTTAACCTACTTTAAATATAATAGAGGTTCAGCTCTCGACTGAGTCAACCTACTTTAAATATAATAGAGGTTCAGCTCTCGACTGAGTCAACCTACTTTAAATATAATAGAGGTTCAGCTCTCGACTGAGTTAACCTACTTTAAATATAATAGAGGTTCAGCTCTCGACTGAGTCAACCTACTTTAAATATAATAGAGGTTCAGCTCTCGACTGAGTCAACCTACTTTAAATATAATAGAGGTTGAGCTCTCGACTGAGTTAACCTACTTTAAATATAATAGAGGTTCAGCTCTCGACTGAGTCAACCTACTTTAAATATAATAGAGGTTCAGCTCTCGAGTCTCGACTGAGTCAACCTACTTTAAATATAATAGAGGTTCAGCTCTCGACTGAGTCAACCTACTTTAAATATAATAGAGGTTCAGCTCTCGACTGAGTCAACCTACTTTAAATATAATAGAGGTTCAGCTCTCGACTGAGTCAACCTACTTTAAATATAATAGAGGTTCAGCTCTCGACTGAGTCAACCTACTTTATATAGAGGTTCAGCTCTCACCTGATGTATTGACATTTGACATTGTAGTATAAGGGAAACAGAACATAAAATAGACATTTTATAGGATATAGAGATATAAGAGCCGTTTACATATTCTGTAGAAGAAACTTCTTATTATACCACAGTTGAGAAAAGCAGGCCTAGTATAGCTTTCTAGTATAACTGTCTTGTAATGTCAAGCAGCCAGCTTTTCACAGTGTGCTTTATATTATTATAATATTATAATATTATAATATTATAATATTATAATATTATAATATTATAATATTATAATATTATAATATTATAATATTATAATATTATAATATTATAATATTATAATATTATAATATTATAATATTATAATATTATAATATTATAATATTATAATATTATAATATTATAATATTATAATATATATTATTATTTGCACTGTTTTAAACCCCACATTCCCAGTGCTTGCTTCTCTTGTTATATTTATACCTTTAGTGCAACTTTTATTGCATTCCTTTTACTTTTCACCCAACAAGCTTAGTAAAAGGATAATAGCTCTATATAATATAGTTTATTGTTCGACTCCATGAAATTCTCTATGATTATTGACAGTACACTATATAGATAAAACATCGCCTACCTTCACGAAATCAACTCGGTCAGCAGCAGGCAAATCGAACGGTTTCCATCGCAGCTGAAATTGAAAAAGTATTTCCAAACTTCATCAAACAATTATTTCAAGTATTCAGTATTAGAATTGACGCTATGACTGGGAATTTGGTCACATAAAGTAACATGCCCTACCGTGCCCGAATAAACGCACTGTTTAGTCTGTACTGCTGAATTGTCTACATAATATTCCATAATGCTAAACTTTTACGTCTGGACTTTATTTTGACATCAAATTTTCTAGAGCCATAATGTCTACTTGTCTATTTTTTATTCTGATTCGAAGAAACTTAATTATTTACTATTTGCAAGACCACAAATCTTGATGCTTAATCCTGAGTTTTGACATATGCTTGCACGCATGTGGCAAAGCATAGCTGGCAAAGTATCAGGACCGTAATTTTAACATAAGGTACCGAAGATTATCCGGGTCAATAAGAAAGCATCATCTTTAACACCTGTGTAAACAACACTAAACAACACTAAACAACACTAAACAACACTAAACAACACTAAACAACACCAAACAACACTAAACAACACTAAACAACACCAAACAACACTAAACAAAACTAAACAACACTAAACAAAACTTAACAAAACTAAACAACACTAAACAACACTAAACAACACTAAACAACACTAAACAACACTAAACAACACTAAACAACACTAAACAACACCAAACAACACTAAACAACACTAAACAACACCAAACAACACTAAACAACACTAAACAACACCAAACAACACTAAACAAAACTAAACAACACTAAACAAAACTTAACAAAACTAAACAACACTAAACAACACTAAACAACACTAAACAACACTAAACAACACTAAACAACACCAAACAACACTAAACAAAACTAAACAACACTAAACAAAACTTAACAAAACTAAACAACACTAAACAACACTAAACAACACTAAACAACACCAAACAACACTAAACAAAACTAAACAACACTAAACAAAACTTAACAAAACTAAACAACACTAAACAACACTAAACAACACTAAACAACACTAAGCAACACTAAACAACACTAAACAACACTACAACACTAAACAACACTACAACACTAAACAACACCAAACAACACTAAACAACACTAAACAACACTAAACAACACTAAGCAACACTAAACAACACTAAACAACACTACACCTGTTTGGGAGTGACAGGTACGTCCTTAAAGTCGCTGGTGAAGTGTCCCGCCTCCTCCTCTTGGTACGGGTAGTGCTTTACTGAAGGTCTTATTCTATACAACCACCTGTCATGTTGTAAGATTGCAATAAATTACAGGCAAAAGTTGTGACAATATCTTATTGATTCGCTCGACTAATTACCCTAATAATGCCATTGTTTTATGATAAAATTATAATAAAGTAACCGTTTTATGGCCATACATGCAGAACAACATCTTCCGAACGACAAACGGATATAATAAAATGAAGTAGCTTATTCTTACGAACAAACCTCAAACAAAATAAAAATAGCAACATAATGACAAGCCTGGTAGACTCACGTGCGTTGGTTGGTCTCACGAGGTGCAGTGAATGCAGTTCCGGACAGCTGCTCAGCGTACAGCCCGTACGGACAGCGCTGAGGGTTGTTCTGTCCCTCCGGCAGTGCTCCTGGTAAACACTCTGACGCAAACTCGTTCCCAAACCCGCTCATGTACTCGTACCCTCCCTGGCAAGGTACTGTTAGCTATGTTTACTGTGTACTCGTACCCTCCCTGGCAAGGTACTGTTAGCTATGTTTACTGTGTACTCGTACCCTCCCTGGCAAGGTACTGTTAGCTATGTTTACTGTGTACTCGTACCCTCCCTGGCAAGGTACTGTTAGCTATGTTTACTGTGTACTCGTACCCTCCCTGGCAAGGTACTGTTAGCTATGTTTACTGTGTACTCGTACCCTCACTGGCAAAGTACTGTTAGCTATGTTTAGTGTGTACTCTTACCCTCCCTGGCAAGGTACTGTTAGCTATGTTTACTGTGTACTCGTACCCTCCCTGGCAAGGTACTGTTAGCTATGTTTACTGTGTACTCGTACCCTCCCTGGCAAGGTACTGTTAGCTATGTTTACTGTGTACTCGACACTCGTACCCTCCCTGGCAATGTACTGTTAGCTATAATAATAATAATAATAATAGGATTATGGCCACATAGCCATCTCGACAAAACTTGAAACCCAACTGCACTCTACGCTATTGCAGTTCGCACAATATTTTCAAAAAGAAAAATGTTCCTATCCGGAACATGTAATGATTAATTATTTTAAGGACGTTAACATGTAGTTCTGAATTTATTAATCAAGATACATTGATTCCTCGGTATTTAGCAATCAATGGGTTATTAGACATGAAATATGCATATGAATCATGCTCACATGTATTTATTTTTGACATCAAGGTTTCGCTGAGATCCCAGAAGTGACCCTTTGACGATGCTCCACTCGCTATCAGTTCAGTTTTATAACATTGAAGTCGAGCTTTGAATGCGTCTACTGAACTGGCTTCTTTAACCGAACTTGGTACTTTGTTCCAGTAATTGGCAACCCGGTTACTGAGGACCTGATTTCCTCTTTTATCTTTTAGGATCTTGGTACCACTACGTGATATCCTGAAAAGATCTTGTCCATAGTCCACTTTACCCGTCGTTATTTTAAAGGTTTCAATAAGATCACCCCTCATACGGCGCTCCAGTAGTGTTGTTAACTGGAGGATTCTCAGTCTCTCGTCGTATGGTAGGATACCAATCCCGTCGATTATTCGTGTAAATTCTCTTTGAACATCTTCTATCTTCTTAATAGTCCTCCAGTTTCCGTGCTCTGCTGGTAGATTCCACACTTGCACAGCGTATTCGATGTGAGGTCGAACTAGAGTTCTGTAGACATTTAGCATAACAAATTTGTTACGGCAGATCAAGCTTCGTTTGATCCAGCCTATAACAGACTTTGCTTTTTTCACGGACTTATCTATATGGTCACTCCAGTCCAGGTTTCTGGTAGTTAGAACTCCAAGATCCTTTTCTGACTTCACTTGGGGGAGGCATTCCCCATTCATGAAGTACTCATGCATTGGATTGTTACGCCCAATATGTAGAACCTTACACTTGCCATCCTTCACATTGAATCTTAGGAGCCATTCCTTCTCCCACGCATTGAGTTTCAGTATATCATCTTGTGCAACACTGTGCTTAGCTGTGCTCGTTACTAGCTTAAGATCGTCAGCAAAGAGTGATACGAAGCTCTCAATTCCATCAGGGAGATCATTTATGAAGAGCAGGAAGAGCAGGGGGCCCAGCACGGTTCCTTGAGGGACCCCGGATGTTACAGCAAAGACTCTAGAAAATGATGATCCAACCCTGACGCGAAATGTTCTTCCTGTTAGAAAGTCTAGTGTGTACTAAGTCTAGTCTAAGTTTAGTGTGTACTCTTACCCTCCCTGGCAAGGTACTGTTAGCTATGTTTACTGTGTACTCGTACCCTCCCTGGCAAGGTACTGTTAGCTATGTTTAGTGTGTACTCGTACCCTCCCTGGCAAGGTACTGTTAGCTATGTTTACTGTGTACTCGACACTCGTACCCTCCCTGGCAATGTACTGTTAGCTATGTTTAGTGTGTACTCGTACCCTCCCTGGCAAGGTACTGTTAGCTATGTTTATTGTGTGACACATGTTTACTGTTGACTGTTTAAAAGTTACAGTGTTATATTATTATATACATAATATATATATTATATAAACGTGATGAAGCGAAGGTGTTTTACTTCATCACTTTAAATATTTTCGACGTATTTTGTTGTTTGAGCCTTGCATCAGTAATATTTTGCATAAATTTAGGGATTATTGAATATTTGGGTGTTATTGTTCAGCAGGGCTATATTAGATAATGTTATATTGTATTAGATAGGGTACCCTGCTAGATAATGTTATATTGTATTAGATAGGGTACCCTGCTAGATAATGTTATATTGTATTAGATAGGGTACCCTGCTAGATAATGTTATATTGTATTAGATAGGGTACCCTGCTAGATAATGTTATATTGTATTAGATAGGGTACCCTGCTAGATAATGTTATATTGTATTAGATAGGGTACCCTGCTAGATAATGTTATATTGTATTAGATAGGGTACCCTGCTAGATAATGTTATATTGTATTAGATAGGGTACCCTGCTAGATAATGTTATATTGTATTAGATAGGGTACCCTGCTAGATAATGTTATATTGTATTAGATAGGGTACCCCGCTAGATAATGTTATATTGTATTAGATAGGGTACCCTGCTAGATAATGTTATATTGTATTAGATAGGGTACCCTGCTAGATAATGTTATATTGTATTAGATAGGGTACCCTGCTAGATAATGTTATATTGTATTAGATAGGGTACCCTGCTAGATAATGTTATATTGTATTAGATAGGGTACCCTGCTAGATAATGTTATATTGTATTAGATAGGGTACCCTGCTAGATAATGTTATATTGTATTAGATAGGGTACCCTGCTAGATAATGTTATATTGTATTAGATAGGGTACCCTGCTAGATAATGTTATATTGTATTAGATAGGGTACCCTGCTAGATAATGTTATATTGTATTAGATAGGGTACCCTGCTAGATAATGTTATATTGTATTAGATAGGGTACCCTGCTAGATAATGTTATATTGTATTAGATAGGGTACCCTGCTAGATAATGTTATATTGTATTAGATAGGGTACCCTGCTAGATAATGTTATATTGTATTAGATAGGGTACCCTGCTAGATAATGTTATATTGTATTAGATAGGGTACCCTGCTAGATAATGTTATATTGTATTAGATAGGGTACCCTGCTAGATAATGTTATATTGTATTAGATAGGGTACCCTGCTAGATAATGTTATATTGTATTAGATAGGGTACCCTGCTAGATAATGTTATATTGTATTAGATAGGGTACCCTGCTAGATAATGTTATATTGTATTAGATAGGGTACCCTGCTAGATAATGTTATATTGTATTAGATAGGGTACCCTGCTAGATAATGTTATATTGTATTAGATAGGGTACCCTGCTAGATAATGTTATATTGTATTAGATAGGGTACCCTGCTAGATAATGTTATATTGTATTAGATAGGGTACCCTGCTAGATAATGTTATATTGTATTAGATAGGGTACCCTGCTAGATAATGTTATATTGTATTAGATAGGGTACCCTGCTAGATAATGTTATATTGTATTAGATAGGGTACCCTGCTAGATAATGTTATATTGTATTAGATAGGGTACCCTGCTAGATAATGTTATATTGTATTAGATAGGGTACCCTGCTAGATAATGTTATATTGTATTAGATAGGGTACCCTGCTAGATAATGTTATATTGTATTAGATAGGGTACCCTGCTAGATAATGTTATATTGTATTAGATAGGGTACCCTGCTAGATAATGTTATATTGTATTAGATAGGGTACCCTGCTAGATAATGTTATATTGTATTAGATAGGGTACCCTGCTAGATAATGTTATATTGTATTAGATAGGGTACCCTGCTAGATAATGTTATATTGTATTAGATAGGGTACCCTGCTAGATAATGTTATATTGTATTAGATAGGGTACCCTGCTAGATAATGTTATATTGTATTAGATAGGGTACCCTGCTAGATAATGTTATATTGTATTAGATAGGGTACCCTGCTAGATAATGTTATATTGTATTAGATAGGGTACCCTGCTAGATAATGTTATATTGTATTAGATAGGGTACCCTGCTAGATAATGTTATATTGTATTAGATAGGGTACCCTGCTAGATAATGTTATATTGTATTAGATAGGGTACCCTGCTAGATAATGTTATATTGTATTAGATAGGGTACCCTGCTAGATAATGTTATATTGTATTAGATAGGGTACCCTGCTAGATAATGTTATATTGTATTAGATAGGGTACCCTGCTAGATAATGTTATATTGTATTAGATAGGGTACCCTGCTAGATAATGTTATATTGTATTAGATAGGGTACCCTGCTAGATAATGTTATATTGTATTAGATAGGGTACCCTGCTAGATAATGTTATATTGTATTAGATAGGGTACCCTGCTAGATAATGTTATATTGTATTAGATAGGGTACCCTGCTAGATAATGTTATATTGTATTAGATAGGGTACCCTGCTAGATAATGTTATATTGTATTAGATAGGGTACCCTGCTAGATAATGTTATATTGTATTAGATAGGGTACCCTGCTAGATAATGTTATATTGTATTAGATAGGGTACCCTGCTAGATAATGTTATATTGTATTAGATAGGGTACCCTGCTAGATAATGTTATATTGTATTAGATAGGGTACCCTGCTAGATAATGTTATATTGTATTAGATAGGGTACCCTGCTAGATAATGTTATATTGTATTAGATAGGGTACCCTGCTAGATAATGTTATATTGTATTAGATAGGGTACCCTGCTAGATAATGTTATATTGTATTAGATAGGGTACCCTGCTAGATAATGTTATATTGTATTAGATAGGGTACCCTGCTAGATAATGTTATATTGTATTAGATAGGGTACCCTGCTAGATAATGTTATATTGTATTAGATAGGGTACCCTGCTAGATAATGTTATATTGTATTAGATAGGGTACCCTGCTAGATAATGTTATATTGTATTAGATAGGGTACCCTGCTAGATAATGTTATATTGTATTAGATAGGGTACCCTGCTAGATAATGTTATATTGTATTAGATAGGGTACCCTGCTAGATAATGTTATATTGTATTAGATAGGGTACCCTGCTAGATAATGTTATATTGTATTAGATAGGGTACCCTGCTAGATAATGTTATATTGTATTAGATAGGGTACCCTGCTAGATAATGTTATATTGTATTAGATAGGGTACCCTGCTAGATAATGTTATATTGTATTAGATAGGGTACCCTGCTAGATAATGTTATATTGTATTAGATAGGGTACCCTGCTAGATAATGTTATATTGTATTAGATAGGGTACCCTGCTAGATAATGTTATATTGTATTAGATAGGGTACCCTGCTAGATAATGTTATATTGTATTAGATAGGGTACCCTGCTAGATAATGTTATATTGTATTAGATAGGGTACCCTGCTAGATAATGTTATATTGTATTAGATAGGGTACCCTGCTAGATAATGTTATATTGTATTAGATAGGGTACCCTGCTAGATAATGTTATATTGTATTAGATAGGGTACCCTGCTAGATAATGTTATATTGTATTAGATAGGGTACCCTGCTAGATAATGTTATATTGTATTAGATAGGGTACCCTGCTAGATAATGTTATATTGTATTAGATAGGGTACCCTGCTAGATAATGTTATATTGTATTAGATAGGGTACCCTGCTAGATAATGTTATATTGTATTAGATAGGGTACCCTGCTAGATAATGTTATATTGTATTAGATAGGGTACCCTGCTAGATAATGTTATATTGTATTAGATAGGGTACCCTGCTAGATAATGTTATATTGTATTAGATAGGGTACCCTGCTAGATAATGTTATATTGTATTAGATAGGGTACCCTGCTAGATAATGTTATATTGTATTAGATAGGGTACCCTGCTAGATAATGTTATATTGTATTAGATAGGGTACCCTGCTAGATAATGTTATATTGTATTAGATAGGGTACCCTGCTAGATAATGTTATATTGTATTAGATAGGGTACCCTGCTAGATAATGTTATATTGTATTAGATAGGGTACCCTGCTAGATAATGTTATATTGTATTAGATAGGGTACCCTGCTAGATAATGTTATATTGTATTAGATAGGGTACCCTGCTAGATAATGTTATATTGTATTAGATAGGGTACCCTGCTAGATAATGTTATATTGTATTAGATAGGGTACCCTGCTAGATAATGTTATATTGTATTAGATAGGGTACCCTGCTAGATAATGTTATATTGTATTAGATAGGGTACCCTGCTAGATAATGTTATATTGTATTAGATAGGGTACCCTGCTAGATAATGTTATATTGTATTAGATAGGGTACCCTGCTAGATAATGTTATATTGTATTAGATAGGGTACCCTGCTAGATAATGTTATATTGTATTAGATAGGGTACCCTGCTAGATAATGTTATATTGTATTAGATAGGGTACCCTGCTAGATAATGTTATATTGTATTAGATAGGGTACCCTGCTAGATAATGTTATATTGTATTAGATAGGGTACCCTGCTAGATAATGTTATATTGTATTAGATAGGGTACCCTGCTAGATAATGTTATATTGTATTAGATAGGGTACCCTGCTAGATAATGTTATATTGTATTAGATAGGGTACCCTGCTAGATAATGTTATATTGTATTAGATAGGGTACCCTGCTAGATAATGTTATATTGTATTAGATAGGGTACCCTGCTAGATAATGTTATATTGTATTAGATAGGGTACCCTGCTAGATAATGTTATATTGTATTAGATAGGGTACCCTGCTAGATAATGTTATATTGTATTAGATAGGGTACCCTGCTAGATAATGTTATATTGTATTAGATAGGGTACCCTGCTAGATAATGTTATATTGTATTAGATAGGGTACCCTGCTAGATAATGTTATATTGTATTAGATAGGGTACCCTGCTAGATAATGTTATATTGTATTAGATAGGGTACCCTGCTAGATAATGTTATATTGTATTAGATAGGGTACCCTGCTAGATAATGTTATATTGTATTAGATAGGGTACCCTGCTAGATAATGTTATATTGTATTAGATAGGGTACCCTGCTAGATAATGTTATATTGTATTAGATAGGGTACCCTGCTAGATAATGTTATATTGTATTAGATAGGGTACCCTGCTAGATAATGTTATATTGTATTAGATAGGGTACCCTGCTAGATAATGTTATATTGTATTAGATAGGGTACCCTGCTAGATAATGTTATATTGTATTAGATAGGGTACCCTGCTAGATAATGTTATATTGTATTAGATAGGGTACCCTGCTAGATAATGTTATATTGTATTAGATAGGGTACCCTGCTAGATAATGTTATATTGTATTAGATAGGGTACCCTGCTAGATAATGTTATATTGTATTAGATAGGGTACCCTGCTAGATAATGTTATATTGTATTAGATAGGGTACCCTGCTAGATAATGTTATATTGTATTAGATAGGGTACCCTGCTAGATAATGTTATATTGTATTAGATAGGGTACCCTGCTAGATAATGTTATATTGTATTAGATAGGGTACCCTGCTAGATAATGTTATATTGTATTAGATAGGGTACCCTGCTAGATAATGTTATATTGTATTAGATAGGGTACCCTGCTAGATAATGTTATATTGTATTAGATAGGGTACCCTGCTAGATAATGTTATATTGTATTAGATAGGGTACCCTGCTAGATAATGTTATATTGTATTAGATAGGGTACCCTGCTAGATAATGTTATATTGTATTAGATAGGGTACCCTGCTAGATAATGTTATATTGTATTAGATAGGGTACCCTGCTAGATAATGTTATATTGTATTAGATAGGGTACCCTGCTAGATAATGTTATATTGTATTAGATAGGGTACCCTGCTAGATAATGTTATATTGTATTAGATAGGGTACCCTGCTAGATAATGTTATATTGTATTAGATAGGGTACCCTGCTAGATAATGTTATATTGTATTAGATAGGGTACCCTGCTAGATAATGCATGACATCACGTGACATCACGTGACATATATGATCATCATATCCTATCCTTCAACCTTATCATTAGACAATACCTATTACTTATGTGCAATGTGCATCTGTGATCCGTATCTACTCTTCTTTATTATTTGCGCTATTTGGTGCTGTAGCCTGTAATCTGTCTAGGTATTACAAATATTGGATGAAATCACATATTCATTACTCCATTGGCGCTCAATCAAAATCTGATTTACGGTTACATAAGTCTGTATTTGTACCTCCTTTTTTATTTGTGATACTCGGTATAGAGAGGTGGCCCTTGTTTCTATATATATAGAATACTATACTATAACTAATTTAATCGGTGAAATACGTTCTACAACTATTTCTAACTCTCAATCAACAACTTCATTCGGTAAACGATTTCAAGACCCGTCAGGGGATCTACTTTGCGGCTGATAAATTTAACTGCTTCCGATAGAAACTTCAGGGTAAATTGCACAGGAATTGCGAGGGAAATGTCACTAAAGACTAAAAAACTTACTGCTACTGTAACTTACTGACGACTTCGCTATAAGGTGTTAAAATTCCTAATATAACTATTCTCGTGAAACGCACTCTTATTTTGTATCGGAAGTTTGATTAGAAGTTTCCAGAATGTATTCAGTTTTCAGGCAGTTTATTTTGAGATAGGCTGTATTGAGCGTGATCAAGCAAATCTAGTGCGTGATGTTACGAGAGGGCCAGACTTCAGAACTTTCTGGTCAGTTCTGTAGGAATCAGTGGATTACTAAGCCTGTACTTCTATTTTACCGAATGTTAGAGATATTTTATTAGAGATATTTAATTAGATGTATTTAATTAGAGATATTTAATTAGAGATATTTAATTAGAGATATTTAATTAGAGATATTTAATTAGAGATATTTAGTTCAAATGAGACACTTTTTGTCATAGTTTGGTGTGCCTAGTTACTTAGTTACTCCATAAAACGTATACTATTAGCACTCTAGTTAGCACTCTAGTCAGCACTCTAGTTAGCACTCTAGCTAGCACTCTAGTTAGCACTATAGTTAGCACTCTAGTTAGCACTATAGTTAGCACTCTAGCTAGCACTCTAGTTAGCACTGTAGTTAGCACTCGAGTTAAAGAGTTTAGTTTAGCCTTCTTAAACTAGGGAGTTGACTGACAGGTGCTTTAACTTTTACAATGTCCTAGTCTAGTGCAAAGCTATGTTATACAATGTTAACTTAATAACCATATCATTGAAGCTTTAAGGCACTACGCTAGGTAATGTTAATTTGAAGGTAACTTTGAAGCTTCAAACAAGGTTAAAAGCTTTGGACGGTTTATTTGTGATCATTCTCGTTCTTTCTTAATCCGATTTGGGCTTACAAGATTCAATGTTCGTGATTGTTGACGAATTACGTCTTTACTTAAAATGTCTTGTAAGATGATATGAATTATGATATGGATTTCCAACGGAATTCCTACTGAATTCACTTTAAAATGAACTAGAAGTAATTAGAGCAAGGTATTTGGCACAACAGTCCAGTTGAACTGATGTGTCAGTTGATATTGTTTACCGGCAGAATTTATTATTATTGTTATTTTGTTGAGGGAGTTAAGATTGCGAGTATAAAGTATAAACAACATGTTGTTGTGTGTTGTTGTAAATCAGTTTATTTGAGAACTAGAATATTCTCATCTTTTCAGTTTTATAATTTCAAAGTTTTATTTTGACAAATTATTGAGTACAGATGATGGTTAGAGAGTTAGAATGCAATGGAACTTACCCGATACTCAAACTATACTATTTCTTTGGTATCAGTTCAACTATTCTCAGCGTGCTTACGATCATAGGTGGGTAACAATTTAGTAACCAGTAATAAGCCAGTTAGTAACCAGTTGGTAACTCGTTTGTAACTAGTTATTAACAAATTGGTAACTAGTTGGTAACTTGTTGGTAACTTGTTGGTAACTAGTGAATAACTGGTAATTTGCTAATTAACCGACACTAAAGCAGCCCTTCAAGGGTCCTCTCTCTTGGGACCTGGTTAAATGTTGTGACTACACTGCATTTAATACACACCATATAATAGTTAACCGTTCCCAGGCAACGTGACACTAGTGTGGTACTATAGACCCAGTTACACTAAACGCTACAACACTCTTATATTTGGAATAGGAGTAGTTGACATTGTCACTGCAGTGGCCTGTCTTATTCAGGTCAGTTATTTACTCTACTTTCTCGGAATCAAATGATCGCATTTTAGGATTAGAGAACCGTCTAGCCCTGGCTGGCCCGGTCGAGACTACATGTTGTTTGATAGAGAGGCCGCCCCCCCCCCCCCCCCCCCCCGTAAAGAACAAAGTTAAGGAAAATCTGATTATCTTAATGAACCAATATGTTGTGGAAATATTATGCTATGATATCAAATTAACTCAACATTTTGCAGCCCAATGTATAGGTTAATGTGATGTAATGATTATGGAAACTTCTAGAACACTATAAATAATCTGGCCCTCAATCTGGGAATGTTCGTACAACGATGTAATAAATGTAATGACACGTATTAATGACAAACGTTGGATAGATTTCCCTTACAAAGCTACCCCATCAGGTGGTAAACATGTGGACAGTAGGGCGCTGTGAAGGTACCCACCTCCCCTTCGCTTACACCACAGACCAACTGGCTATATTCCACAACTCCCAATATGACGAGCAGATAACGATTTCCACTCTTCTCTACGAGATCTCCATCACCACAACCGTGGGGTTCACTGCACTTCTCATCATCACGTGGCTGGTGGACACAGCTGTCTCCGCAGCCACACACAGCTGTGTTAGCACCGTCTTTATTGTGGGCTATCCTACGCTGTGGACTGTTGTTAAGATGCATGGTCTGCAGGCTGAGCAGAGCGAGGCGGCGAAGGTTTTATGGTTTTTGCTGCCGATATGTATCCCAGTTATGATATCTAGTGGAGTACTGTTCTATGTGAAGTACAGGGTTAGGGTGTTTCCGAGACGAGAACTTTCCAGAGCGTGTATAACGAAGGTGGGGCTTATGGTTAACATTGTGTACTTTCTGTTGATTGTCATGAACTTGATAGCAAAACAAGAGCCCCAGATGCTCCAACAGTTTTATTTAACTTTGTACTACACAACCACAAGAACTCTTCCTCTAGTATGTGCTGGGAAAACTATTATCTTTGTGTGCGAGGAGCGATCGTTTGCAAAGGATTTGCAGGCACGGATTAAAAACAGTTTTTGGAAACCGTGTCTTTGTTCAGAGGGTGTTTATTTGGATCAAGGGTAATTTCCTTTATGATTTTAAATTTTAATCACGATATCTATTTTTGTATTGGATTGTTAAATTATTCATTTGATTTACAGCATTTACAATTTAAAATTTCATTTCATATGAGCAACAAGCGCCTTCAAATTTTTTTGAAACTTTGGTTTCTATCTTTCTGGGTTATTACAATTTAAAACGCTAAGGCAACCTTCAATACGGCTGTTAGTGTTTTACAAAGCTCTGACATTTTTGAACATAATTAAAAATTGATATCAGCTAGAATAATCATATGCTTATATTTTCAGAATTACCTCGCTTTTCTTTGCAGGAAGTCCATCGCTTAAATTCTGCCTTCTTTTTCTATCCTGTAAAGGAGGGTACATTATGAGAGATTGTAATATCTTTGGGTATAATTTTGTATACGTTTTAATTTAATCGGATTAATTAGTAGTTTGATTTTTAAAGCAGAAACCCCGGAAGGGATCATGTTTTACATAATATTATATAACAACGTAAGCTAGATTACGTACAGATCAAAAATAAAACTCCAAAACAATAAATCAATAAAACATAATTAAATAACACATAATAAATACTCACCAGCAGACTCATTGTAACAAGGTTTACAAGGTTTGTAATGAGTTACAATTCAGCTAATAAATATTGTACGTTAGAGAAATAATAACGCAGGATATTACATTATCTGATTATAAACTGTAAAGAGTGAAGAATGGGGGAAAGAATATTAATTGGGTTAAATAAGGATCTCACAATAATAACTTAATAAGGTTATTAATTATATAACAGTACACGTTGTTGCCAAAAATATATTATATATTGTCCCTATCATCAAACATTGTCAGCCAAACCAAGCGACTGAAACTTTGTTTCTTTCTTTAGACTCCACCCACAATTTCACTACAACAATCTTACATTTTTAGGGTCCTTCATTAGTATGAATAGACAAACTATCAGCTGTGACAGCTGGTTCCTTCCTTTTCCTCCCTGCCACACAAGTCACCTCTGTCTTTTCTTTTCTTCCCTGCCACACAAGTCACCTCTGTCCTTCCTTTTCCTCCCTGACACACAAGTCACCTCTGTCCTTCCTTTTCCTCCCTGACACACAAGTCACCTCTGTCCTTCCTTTTCCTCCCTGACACACAAGTCACCTCTGTCCTTCCTTTTCTTCCCTGCCACACAAGTCACCTCTGTCCCTCCAACATGACATCGAACGATTCAAAATTGATATCGTCTGTATGTAAAAAATGTCCCTAATTTTGGTTTATCTTGGAATGTGAACAAAAAACCATTTTCTACGCATGTGTCATTAATATTTCAATTATACATATTTGAACAATCGAATTGATCGGCATTCAGCTTGTTTCGATTCTTTCTAGCAGGTAAATTCAACGGCCTGCCAGTCAATTCTTCACTTGTAGGTTGGAGCATAAAATTACAAATCCTCCATTTTTTCCATTCACACCTTTTTGTTAAAAGGCAATAGTATAGAGCAATAGTGAAAGGTTACGAATGGTCGTTTTTGAAGAAAAAGAGGGATTTTGGAGAACGATGTAGGTGGGTTCAAATGTGTCGTCATTCCTTACTTCCGTCCGTTACCATGACAGGTTGCAGAGATGTGATATATATAGCCTGTGGTCAGTGAATGCGCGGCGCGAGTGTATTTTAATGTATAGTATGCAGTAATATATAGTATTAGGTAATAAGCCCAATTTGTACATGACACTCGCAGTGTTCTGATGTGTATAAAACATGAGTATAGTTTACTTTTTGCTTACAATTCCTTAAATTACAGATACAAGTTCAGTTCTACGGCAATTGAATTGAATCACAAGTATTTCCCGTATTTAAAGCATAATATTATTATTATGAAGTCAGCTGATTAGAGCTTATAGTTATAGTGAATGGAAATCTAGCGTCCGCCAAAACAAAACAACGGGCGCAATTCTTGATTATCAAAATGGGGAATTAAAATACATAAAAACAGAGTTGCTATAAAAACATAGTTGCTATAACTTGACACCGTGTCGAGGAGAGCTTTGTGTGATGTTATCCCCCATAATATGTTATTATGGGGGGTAACCATTAGAAACCCCCACATCTTATGGGGGGGGGTAACCATTGGAAACCCCCTCCCCCATCTTATCACCAAGTTACTACTCTGATCTACCTATAGAGTGTATGGTGAGTACAACAGTAGCTGGAATCCTTTACTTGAGGTGATCTGCACAATTGGAAATAAAGGAAGGCGTATCCTTGAATAGTATATATATATTATATATCCTTGAATGAAATTGAATGAAATTGAATTGAATGTGCTTTTTCTTGAATGAGCTTCCTCAGAGAATCTTTTTATTTTTTCGAGGACAAGGAGTCACTCTTTAAAGCGAACTTTGAAGCTAATTCAAAGTTAAAACAAATCTTACAACTTTACATAGAGCACAAATAAAACAAAAATTGAGCCTGAACGAAAATGTCATAATGCCATTACAGAATTAAGATGACTCGTTGTTGTTTCCCGACTAGTTGAATCCCAAATTTCTTTAGCAGGTATATCCAACAGCTTGCCAGTCTATTCTCCACTTTTTGGGCCCATAAATATCGTGTATATTTCCATATTTGATATCGTAAAAGACGTAAATCCTTGGGGAAATCGGTGTTACCAAAATAAAAAACTCTAAAAAGTTTTTGGTAATTTTTATTATTAATTTACTATCCAGCATTGAATTGATAAAGTAAAATAACCTGAACTTCTCAGCCGTAAGATAGTAGGGGTTAGAGCCCCCACTGGCAAGCCAGTGGTTCCCCTCCCCACTCAACGCTGATGTTACAATCGGTGTAATGTCAGTTCTGAAGTCACATGACGTCATATCAACATCTACACGCAGACCATCGTGATAATACTTCTCCCAGGTAGTAGTTCCTGATATAGTATACATGGTGCAATCTCATTTAGTAGGATGTTACCTAGTAATCCTACATGAGGTTCCTGATATAGTATACATGGTGCAATCTCATTTAGTAGGATGTTACCTAGTAATCCTACATGAGGTTCCTGATATAGTATACATGGCGCAATCTCATTGAGTAGGATGTTACCTAGTAATCCTACATGAGGTTCCTGATATAGTATACATGGTGCAATCTCATTGAGTAGGATGTTACCTAGTAATCCGACATGAGGTTCCTGATATAGTATACATGGTGCAATCTCATTTAGTAGGATGTTACCTAGTAATCCTACATGAGGTTCCTGATATAGTATACATGGTGCAATCTCATTTAGTAGGATGTTACCTAGTAATCCTACATGAGGTTCCTGATATAGTATACATGGCGCAATCTCATTGAGTAGGATGTTACCTAGTAATCCTACATGAGGTTCCTGATATGGTATACATGGCGCAATCTCATTGAGTAGGATGTTACCTAGTAATCCTACATGAGGTTCCTGATATGGTATACATGGTGCAATCTCATTGAGTAGGATGTTACCTAGTAATCCTTCATGAGGTTCCTGATATAGTATACATTGTGCAATCTCATTGAGTAGGATGTTACCTAGTAATCCTACATGAGGTTCCTGATATAGTATACATGGTGCAATCTCATTTAGTAGGATGTTACCTAGTAATCCTACATGAGGTTCCTGATATAGTATACATTGTGCAATCTCATTGAGTAGGATGTTACCTAGTAATCCTACATGAGGTTCCTGATATAGTATACATGGCGCAATCTCATTGAGTAGGATGTTACCTAGTAATCCTACATGAGGTTCCTGATATAGTATACATGGCGCAATCTCATTGAGTAGGATGTTACCTAGTAATCCTACATGAGGTTCCTGATATGGTATACATGGTGCAATCTCATTGAGTAGGATGTTACCTAGTAATCCTTCATGAGGTTCCTGATATAGTATACATTGTGCAATCTCATTGAGTAGGATGTTACCTAGTAATCCTACATGAGGTTCCTGATATAGTATACATGGTGCAATCTCATTTAGTAGGATGTTACCTAGTAATCCTACATGAGGTTCCTGATATAGTATACATTGTGCAATCTCATTGAGTAGGATGTTACCTAGTAATCCTACATGAGGTTCCTGATATGGTATACATGGCGCAATCTCATTGAGTAGGATGTTACCTAGTAATCCTTCATGAGGTTCCTGATATAGTATACATTGTGCAATCTCATTGAGTAGGATGTTACCTAGTAATCCTACATGAGGTTCCTGATATAGTATACATGGCGCAATCTCATTGAGTAGGATGTTACCTAGTAATCCTACATGAGGTTCCTGATATAGTATACATTGTGCAATCTCATTGAATAGGATGTTACCTAGTAATCCTACATGAGGTTCCTGATATAGTATACATGGCGCAATCTCATTGAGTAGGATGTTACCTAGTAATCCTACATGAGGTTCCTGATATAGTATACATGGCGCAATCTCATTGAGTAGCATGTTACCTAGTAATCCTACATGAGGTTCCTGATATAGTATACATGGCGCAATCTCATTGAGTAGCATGTTACCTAGTAATCCTACATGAGGTTTCATTGGGTATAGGTATAATGATGAAAATAATTGAAAAAAGATTAAATAAGCTCGATACCCTTTCCTGTAGTTCCGACACAAAGTCTGAGACAAGGCTCAGCTCCAGCGTTTCCAGGTTCATAAGGTGCCACCATTTTGATATCGGGTTTGGCAACGCCAAAACAAAGGGCTATCAACCAGATATGAGTCAAATTCATAGTGTTGTTCAACGTTGTAAACTGAGAGCAATGGCACCATTCACTCGGCCTTCAATTATTAAGTATATATTTATCACAGCTGGCTGCATATAACATAATTGTTGTGAATCTATTTTACAAGTCAAGACCTTACGAATTAGTTTACTCAGTAGTGAAAGTCCCCTAATGAGATCATTCTCATTGTATTAGCAGATGTTGAATTAATAAGTAGAGAACATGCGAATAAATTGAGCCTCTCTTTATAAATTAAACAGCAGTTCCATCCCCCCTCAGCAGTTCCACCCCCCCCCCCCTCAGCAGTTCCATCCCCCCTCAGCAGTTCCACCCCCCACGGCAGTTCCACCCCCCTCAGCAGTTCCACCCCCCCACAGCAGTTCCACCCCCCCCCCCCCCTCAGCAGTTCCACCCCCCTCAGCAGTTCCACCAGCGGCGTAACGAAGGCCCTGCCGACCCCGCTGTGTGGGGGGGGGGGGGGGGCCAAATCGTTGTTTGAATGTGGGACAATTTCGAAAATAACTACGGTACTAGCAAAACTAGCAAAACAATTTTAGGGAGGAGTACCAAAAGGGGAGGGGGCGCCAACAGGGCGCTTTTCCAGCCAACAGGCAACGTTACGCCACTGAGTTCCACCCCCTTCCCTCAGCAGTTACGCCACTGAGTTCCACCCCCTCCCCTCAGCAGTTACGCCACTGAGTTCCACCCCCTCCCCTCAGCAGTTACGCCACTGAGTTCCACCCCCTCCCCTCAGCAGTTACGCCACTGAGTTCCACCCCCTCCCCTCAGCAGTTACGCCACTGAGTTCCACCCCCTCCCCTCAGCAGTTACGCCACTGAGTTCCACCCCCTCCCCTCAGCAGGTGAGCCACTGAGTTCCACCCCCTCCCCTCAGCAGTTACGCCACTGAGTTCCACCCCCTCCCCTCAGCAGTTACGCCACTGAGTTCCACCCCCTCCCCTCAGCAGTTACGCCACTGAGTTCCACCCCCTCCCCTCAGCAGTTACTCCACTGAGTTCCACCCCCTCCCCTCAGCAGTTACGCCACTGAGTTCCACCCCCTTCCCTCAGCAGTTACGCCACTGAGTTCCACCCCCTCCCCTCAGCAGTTACACCACTGAGTTCCACCCCCTCCCCTCAGCAGTTACACCACTGAGTTCCACCCCCTCCCCTCAGCAGTTACGCCACTGAGTTCCACCCCCTCCCCTCAGCAGTTACGCCACTGAGTTCCACCCCCTCCCCTCAGCAGTTACACCACTGAGTTCCACCCCCTCCCCTCAGCAGTTACGCCACTGAGTTCCACCCCCTCCCCTCAGCAGTTACACCACTGAGTTCCACCCCCTCCCCTCAGCAGGTGAGCCACTGAGTTCCAACCCCTCCCCTCAGCAGTTACGCCACTGAGTTCCACCCCCTCCCCTCAGCAGTTACGCCACTGAGTTCCACCCCCTCCCCTCAGCAGTTACGCCACTGAGTTCCACCCCCTCCCCTCAGCAGTTACACCACTGAGTTCCACCCCCTCACCTCAGCAGTTACGCCACTGAGTTCCACCCCCTCCCCTCAGCAGGTGAGCCACTGAGTTCCACCCCCTCCCCTCAGCAGTTACGCCACTGAGTTCCACCCCCTCCCCTCAGCAGGTGAGCCACTGAGTTCCACCCCCTCCCCTCAGCAGGTGAGCCACTGAGTTCCACCCCCTCCCCTCAGCAGGTGAGCCACTGAGTTCCACCCCCTCCCCTCAGCAGTTACGCCACTGAGTTCCACCCCCTCCCCTCAGCAGTTACGCCACTGAGTTCCACCCCCTCCCCTCAGCAGTTACGCCACTGAGTTCCACCCCCTCCCCTCAGCAGGTGAGCCACTGAGTTCCACCCCCTCCCCTCAGCAGTTACGCCACTGAGTTCCACCCCCTCCCCTCAGCAGGTGAGCCACTGAGTTCCACCCCCTCCCCTCAGCAGTTACGCCACTGAGTTCCACCCCCTCCCCTCAGCAGGTGAGCCACTGAGTTCCACCCCCTCCCCTCAGCAGTTACACCACTGAGTTCCACCCCCTCCCCTCAGCAGGTGAGCCACTGAGTTCCACCCCCTCCCCTCAGCAGTTACGCCACTGAGTTCCACCCCCTCCCCTCAGCAGGTGAGCCACTGAGTTCCACCCCCTCCCCTCAGCAGGTGAGCCACTGAGTTCCACCCCCTCCCCTCAGCAGGTGAGCCACTGAGTTCCACCCCCTCCCCTCAGCAGTTACGCCACTGAGTTCCACCCCCTCCCCTCAGCAGTTGCTCCACTGAGTTCCACCCCCTCCCCTCAGCAGTTACGCCACTGAGTTCCACCCCCTCCCCTCAGCAGGTGAGCCACTGAGTTCCACCCCCTCCCCTCAGCAGTTACACCACTGAGTTCCACCCCCTCCCCTCAGCAGGTGAGCCACTGAGTTCCACCCCCTCCCCTCAGCAGGTGAGCCACTGAGTTCCACCCCCTCCCCTCAGCAGTTGCTCCACTGAGTTCCACCCCCTCCCCTCAGCAGGTGAGCCACTGAGTTCCACCCCCTCCCCTCCGCAGTTGCTCCACTGAGTTCCACCCCCTCCCCTCAGCAGTTGCTCCACTGAGTTCCACCCCCTCCCCTCAGCAGTTACTCCACTGAGTTCCACCCCCTCCCCTCAGCAGTTACACCACTGAGTTCCACCCCCTCCCCTCAGCAGTTACACCACTGAGTTCCACCCCCTCCCCTCAGCAGTTACACCACTGAGTTCCACCCCCTCCCCTCAGCAGTTGCTCCACTGAGTTCCACCCCCTCCCCTCAGCAGTTACACCACTGAGTTCCACCCCCTCCCCTCAGCAGGTGAGCCACTGAGTTCCACCCCCTCCCCTCAGCAGGTGAGCCACTGAGTTCCACCCCCTCCCCTCAGCAGTTACGCCACTGAGTTCCACCCCCTCCCCTCAGCAGTTGCTCCACTGAGTTCCACCCCCTCCCCTCAGCAGTTACTCCACTGAGTTCCACCCCCTCCCCTCAGCAGTTACACCACTGAGTTCCACCCCCTCCCCTCAGCAGTTGCTCCACTGAGTTCCACCCCCTCCCCTCAGCAGTTGCTCCACTGAGTTCCACCCCCTCCCCTCAGCAGTTACTCCACTGAGTTCCACCCCCTCCCCTCAGCAGTTACACCACTGAGTTCCACCCCCTCCCCTCAGCAGGTGAGCCACTGAGTTCCACCCCCTCCCCTCAGCAGTTACGCCACTGAGTTCCACCCCCTCCCCTCAGCAGTTACGCCACTGAGTTCCACCCCCTCCCCTCAGCAGTTACACCACTGAGTTCCACCCCCTCCCCTCAGCAGTTACACCACTGAGTTCCACCCCCTCCCCTCAGCAGTTACACCACTGAGTTCCACCCCCTCCCCTCAGCAGTTACGCCACTGAGTTCCACCCCCTCCCCTCAGCAGTTACGCCACTGAGTTCCACCCCCTCCCCTCAGCAGGTGAGCCACTGAGTTCCACCCCCTCCCCTCAGCAGTTGCTCCACTGAGTTCCACCCCCTCCCCTCAGCAGTTACACCACTGAGTTCCACCCCCTCCCCTCAGCAGGTGAGCCACTGAGTTCCACCCCCTCCCCTCAGCAGGTGAGCCACTGAGTTCCACCCCCTCCCCTCAGCAGGTGAGCCACTGAGTTCCACCCCCTCCCCTCAGCAGTTACACCACTGAGTTCCACCCCCTCCCCTCAGCAGTTACGCCACTGAGTTCCACCCCCTCCCCTCAGCAGGTGAGCCACTGAGTTCCACCCCCTCCCCTCAGCAGTTACACCACTGAGTTCCACCCCCTCCCCTCAGCAGTTACGCCACTGAGTTCCACCCCCTCCCCTCAGCAGTTACACCACTGAGTTCCACCCCCTCCCCTCAGCAGGTGAGCCACTGAGTTCCACCCCCTCCCCTCAGCAGGTGAGCCACTGAGTTCCACCCCCTCCCCTCAGCAGTTACTCCACTGAGTTCCACCCCCTCCCCTCAGCAGTTACGCCACTGAGTTCCACCCCCTCCCCTCAGCAGTTACTCCACTGAGTTCCACCCCCTCCCCTCAGCAGTTACGCCACTGAGTTCCACCCCCTCCCCTCAGCAGTTACGCCACTGAGTTCCACCCCCTCCCCTCAGCAGGTGAGCCACTGAGTTCCACCCCCTCCCCTCAGCAGTTACGCCACTGAGTTCCAACCCCTCCCCTCAGCAGTTGCTCCACTGAGTTCCACCCCCTCCCCTCAGCAGGTGAGCCACTGAGTTCCACCCCCTCCCCTCAGCAGTTACACCACTGAGTTCCACCCCCTCCCCTCAGCAGTTACGCCACTGAGTTCCACCCCCTCCCCTCAGCAGGTGAGCCACTGAGTTCCACCCCCTCCCCTCAGCAGTTACGCCACTGAGTTCCACCCCCTCCCCTCAGCAGTTACGCCACTGAGTTCCACCCCCTCCCCTCAGCAGGTGCGCCACTGAGTTCCACCCCCTCCCCTCAGCAGGTGAGCCACTGAGTTCCACCCCCTCCCCTCAGCAGTTACGCCACTGAGTTCCACCCCCTCCCCTCAGCAGTTACACCACTGAGTTCCACCCCCTCCCCTCAGCAGTTACACCACTGAGTTCCACCCCCTCCCCTCAGCAGGTGAGCCACTGAGTTCCACCCCCTCCCCTCAGCAGGTGAGCCACTGAGTTCCACCCCCTCCCCTCAGCAGTTGCTCCACTGAGTTCCACCCCCTCCCCTCAGCAGTTACGCCACTGAGTTCCACCCCCTCCCCTCAGCAGTTACACCACTGAGTTCCACCCCCTCCCCTCAGCAGTTGCTCCACTGAGTTCCACCCCCTCCCCTCAGCAGTTACACCACTGAGTTCCACCCCCTCCCCTCAGCAGGTGAGCCACTGAGTTCCACCCCCTCCCCTCAGCAGTTGCTTTAACGTGGCGGGGAGGAGATTGACGAAGGTATCTGAAATTACCGTTCTTCAAACCAAGAGACCGCATAAACAGTCATCAAATTTAATTAAGGGGTAATAGCCTTTCCATGTTCGTTATGCGAGGGCTGTTTAGTCATTCAAACAAGGATTTGCACGAGACATTATTTCGACACTGATAATGAGCAAATAATACACGTTTTATTGCTTCTTCAAAGTTGTAATTAACTGATATTTGCTAAGTTATGACAATGTTCAATCTGATACATCATGAGGTTGCTAACAAGCGTAACCAATGGCTTGCCAGTCAATTCTCCACTTGTCAGCCTTGTAAAAACTGTGGATGTTGCCGTATTCTGCTCGCATATGAACGTAGTTCCTGTAAAGTTATGGTTCAAGATAGGGAAGATAATATGATGAAAACCTAAACTCCCTAGTTAATTCAACACATTAACACGGCATGTATAGTGTATAGTGTATAGTGTATAGTATATAGTGTATAGTGTATAGTGTATAGTTTATAGTGTATAGTGTATAGTGTATAGTGTATAGTGTATAGTGTATTATAGTGTATAGTGTATAGTGTATAGTGTATAGTGTATAGTGTATAGTATATATAGTGTATAGTGTATAGTATATAGTGTATAGTGTATAGTATATATAGTGTATAGTGTATAGTATATAGTGTATAGTGTATAGTATATAGTGTATAGTTTATCGTGTATAGTGAATAGTGTATAGTGTATAGTATATAGTGTATAGTGTATAGTGTATAGTATATAGTGTATAGTGTATAGTGTATAATAGTGTATAGTGTATAGTGTATAGTGTATAGTGTATAGTGTATAGTTTATCGTGTATAGTGTATTATATACGTAATTACAAATAAATGTAGTAAATTGTACTTACACGAAACTGGATGATGTGAGGGAGTATATTTCTGATCCACCAGTAGTCACCCAAAGGTGACTTTCTCCAGCCAATACAGATGTTACTATTGGAGTCAAACCAGGTTTGAAGTCGCAGTTTGTCATGTCTACTTTAACATAGATTCCATCAGTACTGTAATATTTCCAGGGTGTCGAGCCTGCATTAGATCGAGAATGTTAATTTTACTCTCACATCTAATTCCTACTCAACTAAGGCTAGTTGAAAATTATTACAGTAAAAACTAAAAAACAATGGTCCTATAATTTTTCCTGAAAGAAAGGTGAATCAGGTAAATTAGCCATCATATAATAATAGGGGCTAGTTGGCCTAGTGGTTACAACCACTACAATATATATAAAATATATATACAAGTTATAATAATGGGGGGGGGGGGGGGGGGGGGGTGGTGACATGAAAAAGTTATAATACAATATATATATAATATACAAGTTATAATAATTGGGGGGGGGGGGGGGGGGGGTGATATGACAAAGTTATAATAATGGGGGGGGGGGGGGGGTGATATAGAAAGTTATAATAATATGATACCTTTTCCTGTTGTCCCAGTGCAAAGTCTGAGACAAGGCTCATCTCCACCTTCTTCATAAGGGGCCGCCACTTTGATGTCGATACATTCGAGAAGGCCAAAACTAAGAACAAAAAAGAAGATACTGGCAAAGATCATAGTGTTATCGGAAAAAGGGACCTGCTGATAATGCCCGATTATTCAAGTGTTCCCCATTTATACTATTAAAGCGGCTTTCTTCTCACTTTGAAGATATGAAGGACAAGGTGTTATTAAACCAGAGAATAATACAACAAAGCTCAGAATCCATCTGTTGAGTTCTTCCAGAGCTAGAGGTGTGATAAATTCGAAATAACTGACAAAAACAACACTCTTCTCTCTTTGCTGATATAATAGAAAAATATAGCGAACTATAAAGTCTTAAGAAAATCGATGTTTCAGAAAGATATTAAAGTTTAACAATACTTGTCAAAATATGATAAACAATCGAAAATTCGGCGGAGGAAGAAGAAAGTTCTTTCTTTTGTACGATTAATTCGACCTGAAAATTGTAATTAGTAACACTATTCTCTTTCTTTGCTAGAAAAACAAGTAAACCGTATGATAACGATTCAGTGCATTGTTGTTATTGATAGATACTTCAGCAGAGGGAGAAGCTGGCGCAGAAAGTAGTGAGGCAGGTGAAATTCTTAGCTGTCTGATAGTTACAGAGTCTGCGGCAATAACTTGTTTGTGAGAATCATAGAACTGTATTTCGGCTCATAATAAAGATAATGTCATAATATTGCCACCAATTTTGGCTAACTGAGTTCATTTTAATTTTGCTACGAGTTACTGTAAACCTGCTTACTGGGTAAAAGTGGCCACAAATCATAAAACCACAGATTTACCACGGCTATTTCCTTTCCTCCAAATAGGGCTGAATATACATAGATTGTCACTATGTAACATAGTGACAGTGTAAACACTTAAAACCCTGATTTACTGTGTTACTGTACAACCATGCAGTGGAATGAGTTCCGTCTGAACAGCAGTAATCACATAGTCAAGTACAGACAATTCCAAGGCCATCTGCTGAAGATATTTGACTGTATTATATTATAACTAATAACCATAATATCATAAGTTGGTGACTTAAAAATAGTTCTTACAAATTTGTTGTTAATGATACGCTTTTTAGAATCTCAAAAATAATAAAACTGAACTTCATTGGTAGTTGATTTAACAAATGTAACCAATGGCTTGCCAGTCAATCCTCCGCTTGTCACGTTTATAATAACTTTTGATCCCACTCTGTCCTCAAATTAATGTAGTTCCTGTAAGGTAAGGGCACATTAAAAATACCTTTTACTGCAGCCAAATTATTATTATTTAATATAGGGATAAAGACAGTACACAAACATAGAATCTTATAACATAGCCATGTTTCATATTTGAGACTTGTAACTTTGCATGTTACATACTGTAACTAATGAACTACTGAATGAGAATTCTGCCGTCAACATTTAAATATTCAAATATTTAAAATCACGCTCATTCAATATTGAATTGCTCATACAGATTTAACCACATTACTCTAGTAGCAGAGAGGAGTTGAGTGTGCACTTCAATGTCCACAATTTTTGACCATACAGGGTCTTTCATTAGGTCATTCCAAACCAAAATCATCTAGGTAGCAATTTTGTGTCGCTAGTCCCAGTCCTACAGGGCGAAATTTCTAAATTGCCCTCAGGCGCCAATTTGGGATTTTTGTATCTCTGCTTCTAAAAGACTTAGAGACTTGAATATTGGCTTAAAATAACGGCAATACCCTTATTTATATACAAGTTATGAAGCAATATAAGGTCTCAAGTGCCTAGTTTTAAAGATATTTACGAAAAACTGTTTTTTGGCTCATCGCAGCCGGAATTATCGGATTATTTTTATATCTCGAGCTAGAAAGGTCGTAGAAACTTCTCCGATATTGAAAAATATTTGCAATGAGCACATTTATATAAGACTTATGAATCATTGTATGCTCTAAAATGCTTATTTGTAGAGATATTAGCAAAAATCGGTAATTTTGGCTACACCAATACAAATTTGGTAATTCGTTTTGTCTTTTTTTTGCAAATTTTCACGTTGCAATTTTCAAGATGCGGTTTGTGGCTATCGATAGGGCTTTATATGCTATTGTATGGTTTTGATACAATCCTTCAGCACCTAGGACATAGGCAATAGGGGTCACAAACCCTGAAATGTCAGGAACTGGGCAGTGGCCGAGATAAATATTTGATAATTACTTGGACTCTTGACTCACATTCATCTTTTCAACGGTTAGTTAGACATCTTAAACCAGTATTGAACGTTGAGTAAAACTTCTAATCCATTAGTACTTTGTAGCTCAGGTCATGTGCCCCAGAAAAACACGCCTGAGTGACAGTGGGCCTTATCGATCATGAGCCGCAAATCACAAGGGCATTCGTACTCTTGGCTTAAATTGGCTCTTCGTTAGTATCATCAATTAGGTTTCTAACTTCTATTATATCATCTGCCTGTCCAGTGTCCAATGTCCATCCGTCTCTTTGAGATTCATTATTAATTCAAGTTCAGTCATTTCGTTTCTGTTCAACTGTAGGCGCAATGAGGGACTTCAGTCCAGCAATAAAGTCAATATCTCTAGATTTAGCAATATTTGGTTTCGCTACTTTTAAGGTAATTGTGTTCAGCAAGCAAGGTTGTAAGTTTTCAGCCCTACGCCCCTACTGTAATGCACATGGTATAATGCTGATTTTTTGCTTAACATAGCTCATTTTAAAGTTCCTTTTTCAGCAGTCTTCCCTATCATAATTCATACTGGCATAAAAACAGATTCACCTCCTTTATCTCTAGATATAATCTTGAACCTGGGCTCTACAGGTTATTGAATATCCACCAACCTCTTGCCCCAATTGTCAGCCTAAGGACCGCTGCCACCTGCAACTTTGGGTCCCAGAACTTCGGGCCCAACGATACCTGTCCCTCAGTGACTTTGTGCCCCACATAATTCTAATTTATGACTCAATGTAAATTGTAAATGCTGAGATGGACATTAGATAACCTGTATCTATCGCTAAATTATTTACTATTATTATTGTATTGCTGTGTAAATTTTATTCTAATTCTAATTTTAATTCTGTAGAGCCCAGGTTTAAGATTATATTTAGAGATAAAGGAGGTGAATCTGTTTTTATGACAGTATGATATGGTACACTGCTGAAAAAGGAACTTAAAAATGAGCTATGTTAAGCAAAAAATCAGCATTATACCATGTGCATTACCAGTGCTCCAGTATAACTAGTGCCCCGGGGGTGGGGGGGGGGGCAATATTTTGAGGCAGTAGGGGCGTAGGGCTGAAAACTTACAACCTTGCTTGCTGAACACAATTACCTTAAAAGTAGCGAAACCAAATATTGCTAAATCTAGAGATATTGACTTTATTGCTGGACTGAAGTCCCTCATTGCGCCTACAGTTGAACAGAAACGAAATGACTGAACTTGAATTAATAATGAATCTCAAAGAGACGGATGGACACTGGACAGGCAGATGATATAATAGAAGTTAGAAACCTAATTGATGATACTAACGAAGAGCCAATTTAAGCCAAGAGTACGAATGCCCTTGTGATTTGCGGCTCATGATCGATAAGGCCCACTGTCACTCAGGCGTGTTTTTCTGGGGCACATGACCTGAGCTACAAAGTACTAATGGATTAGAAGTTTTACTCAACGTTCAATACTGGTTTAAGATGTCTAACTAACCGTTGAAAAGATGAATGTGAGTCAAGAGTCCAAGTAATTATCAAATATTTATCTCGGCCACTGCCCAGTTCCTGACATTTCAGGGTTTGTGACCCCTATTGCCTATGTCCTAGGTGCTGAAGGATTGTATCAAAACCATACAATAGCATATAAAGCCCTATCGATAGCCACAAACCGCATCTTGAAAATTGCAACGTGAAAATTTGCAAAAAAAAGACAAAACGAATTACCAAATTTGTATTGGTGTAGCCAAAATTACCGATTTTTGCTAATATCTCTACAAATAAGCATTTTAGAGCATACAATGATTCATAAGTCTTATATAAATGTGCTCATTGCGAATATTTTTCAATATCGGAGAAGTTTCTACGACCTTTCTAGCTCGAGATATAAAAATAATCCGATAATTCCGGCTGCGATGAGCCAAAAAACAGTTTTTCGTAAATATCTTTAAAACTAGGCACTTGAGACCTTATATTGCTTCATAACTTGTATATAAATAAGGGTATTGCCGTTATTTTAAGCCAATATTCAAGTCTCTAAGTCTTTTAGAAGCAGAGATACAAAAATCCCAAATTGGCGCCTGAGGGCAATTTAGAAATTTCGCCCTGTAGGACTGGGACTAGCGATACAAAATTGCTACCTAGATGATTTTGGTTTGGAATGACCTAATGAAAGACCCTGTGTGGTCAAAAATTGTGGACATTGAAGTGCACACTCAACTCCTCTCTGCTACTAGAGTACATAGTTTGGGGGAAGGGAAACATCTGCGGTAAATCGGGATGGCCGCAGTTTTACTGTTCTGCTCTTGAGAACATGCTAGACATTTTGTATTATATTGCAATCGATCATGAACTGTTGCATCTGCTCTAAAAAATGATATTTGAAATGAACAAAAATGTTGTTAAAATTAAGCAGATGTTAATATAAGATACAGCAATCAAAATGTACAGGGCGGGCCAAAAGTCAGTGTGCAAACGTTGGCCTTAATAGCTCAGTCACTGAGCGCCCAACTGAAATAATTCTTTCTGGTATGACTTAATACTTTTAACACTTCTTCTTCGTAGGGGGCTGTGGTCATTATCACTAATGGAAAGATCGTGACCACTGTAAGATAGAGCATTGGAGCCCTGTGCTTACCCTGGTAAAATATTAATTAGTGGAGAAAAAGTTAAACTTTGTTTTCTCCACATTTAGTAAATCATTTTGTTGCTTGTATGAAGCCAATGATCCTTGGTAGTGAGAACTTGTCCACTATGTCTGTCACACTAAGATAGAATGAGTCAAAGTATCCTCCTCATTGGTAAGACCATTTCGGGCACTGACCAATAAAGTGGTCTCCTCTTCCATAAGACAGTGTGGACAAGTTTTGGGGACTGTTGTCGGCTTGAACTTATTAATGTGGTAGTTTAGTTCACAATGTCCAGTAAGGAATTGTGTTGCTGTTCTTGTGCTCTCTTTGCCAAGTTTCGGGATTGATCTGGCAAACTTATGTCTCCATAATCGTTTGAAGTGAGTGTTGGCCAACGTTCTCCATCTTTCCCTCATTTTCGATGATTTCCATAATACTTTTGGTATTGGTAGTAGCACTTAGGCAGAGTCTAAGTTATCAGAGCCTTTTTTGGCAAGAGAGTCTGCCTTTTCGTTACCACCATAGACTTTATGAGCTGGTATCCATCGTAGTAAGTTGCTAGTTGGTTCAGCTCACTTATTGCTGTGCTGATGCTTTTTGATTTGACTTTGATATTGCTCATTGCCATTATTGTTGCCTGGCTATAACAGTTTATGATGATTTTTCTAGTGTTGGTTCCAGATTCCCGTAGTATTTTTGCTGCTGTGCCTACGGCAAAGGTATCGGCCTGGAAGACGGTTTAGTTGGTTCCTAGGTGGTAGGACTCCTCACATGGCCTGGAGGGGTGCAGTGGCGTAACGTTGCCTGTTGGCGCCCCCCCACCCCCCCCCCCCCCCCCCCCCCGCCGAAGAAGCGCCCCCCTGTTGGCGCCCCCTCCCCTTTTGGTTCCCCTCCCTAAAATTGAACAAATTAGATGATTTTAGAGGATACGCCCGTAAATCTCTAAAAAAGTGTGTATCTAGAGCAAAACGTGCAGTTTTGCTAGTACTTTAGTTAAGTTTTCGAAATTGTCCCACATTCAAACGACGATTTGGCGCCCCCCCTAAGACGGCGCCCTCGCTGTGCGGGATCAGCGGGCCCTTCGTTACGCCACTGGAGGGGTGTCGTTATCCACAACGTACACTCCAGCTCCAACTTGTTCATTCATTTTGGAGCCATCTGTGTAGCATTTTTTTTTATTTGAAAATTCAATTAATTATTATATATATACAGGGTGGGCCAAAAGTCAGTACCCATACGTTGGCCTTTATAGCTCAGTCACTGAGTGCCCAATTTAAATACTTCTTTCTGGTATGACTTAGTACCACCACTGGTTCGAGGAATTTGTCAACTCGAAAAATATTCGCGTTCATTTTTTTCAAATGGAGGTTCATTTTCACATTTATTTGATAGTTTGGATAGTCGGATCAAGCTAAATATTATTGAATTGTGTTTGGCCATTCGAATTACGTTTGTCCTGAAAGAATTAGAACTGTAGCTTCTCAGATGACCGAGATATGAAGCATAACGAGTTTATTCATTACGTGTGATCAGGTGATTGGTTTACCTAATCACGTGATAAGGTGCCCCCGTTAACTACCCCTTTAAACATTATGGGAATTGTTAAGGGTGCCCAATTAAGGTGTCGTGTCACGGTGTCACATAATCACCCAGTCAATATTGTTAACGAGATACAGAAAATGCTTGATAACTTCGTCATTTCTAATCCGTTTTGCCTCATGTTTTCAGATCATATGCAACATTTGATAATCTACCGTCTCTGAAAAAATTAGGCGTTCAGCATGTTCAGAAAAAACAATATAGGTGTTTTAATATTGAATGGGCGTGGTCTAAAATATTCGAATTTTCAAATTTTGACGACGGAATCCTCGAACCAGTAAGTACAGTATGCCATCTGCAAAGCAACAGCTCTCAAATATAAAACACGACGGAGCTATTAAGGCCAACGTATGGGTACTGACTTTTGGCCCACCCTGTATAAATCAAGCGTTACATTTCAGCCATGCAAAATTACAATGACATATTTTGATAAACTAATTGATAAATGGTACTGCAATATAAGTTGCTTAATGTTTGGCCGGATGACAACTAACTAAAAGAGAAAAATAAACTTGATTACATAATAATTAATTCGGCTGAACCAACACATAGCAAGAGCCACATTAACGTTGGGGCCGTCATGGGGGCATTGTATGGTGTTGGTATCGTTATCGATTTCCTCATACGTTCAACACTACTATGTAACAAATAGTTTTATGCATGACTACCGATGAGTAATTATACCTTGGAGTAAAGACTGCCGGTGTCCTGGGTGTGATGGATCTGAGTTTGATGGCAGGTTGTGGAGGTGGCAATCGTTTCTTGTACTGCCGGGGCTCCTGCGGTCTGCAGTCTGGTACGAGGTTAGTTTCCATGTTAGAGATCTATTGATGATTCAAATTTATTAACTCCTGTTTAGCTACCCCTCCTTACATTAAGTAGTGCATTCTTTGTTTTGCTTTACAGTTCATTACTGATAGTTGGATAATATCCGGTTAGAAGAGACAAGGACTAATGAAACAGGAAGTTAGGAATGTAGGCAAATTTTTATTAAAATACTTTCAACACCAATATATAAAAAATAATTTGAGCCTGAAGATGTGCCTACATTTGACATTCCTAATTTCCTGTTTCATTTGTCCTTGACCCTTGTCTCTTCCAACTGGATATTATCCAACTATCAGTATTTCAATACTGATAGTTGATGATGACAGGGGTGATGATGAAGATGAGGAAGTTGATGATGAGGTTGATAATGTAGAGGAAGAGGTTGCAGAAGAGTGAGCTGAAAAGAAGACTAGATTCTATTCTAATTTATTGATTATCATATTTATTGAAATAAACATATAATATCCATTACTCCAGGAGTGATGACAGGATATAAGAAAAAATCAGTATTTCAATCATGAGACTAATAAACAGCTAAGCGTACTACTTCATCATTTGACAGTCCATTACCCTTTGTACATTAAAATTTAAGATTTTTCATTCTGAACTATAAATTTTTGGCTTCTTAACTGTTTCAGACCCGAATTGCCGGAATTATATCGATGCCACTAAAACATCCTGCTGTTGATATTTATCTGGGTCTCTCTTTGTTCCAAAAAAAAGGAAAATGCTTTTCCAAAAAAGTTGGATATTTGAAGCAATATCTTATTACCTCTCTCTCTCTCTTGGTAAACTGTACAACTTGGTAAACTGTACAACTTTAATAGTAGATTGTTCTAACCAGAGCACTCTCACTTGCACTAGCGCGGCGCGCGATCACCACCGAAGGCATCACGCAGTACGGTCCTGTCGACGAGGATATCCTAGTTTGGAGCAAATATTTTACGAGTATCACCCCGTCACCCGTTAAGTTAATTGTTTGAAACAGATATTTTACGAGTATTACCCGTTAAATAATTTATTGTTCAATGCAATTGTATAGTTCTTTGGAGGGCTTCTTATTTAATGATGCGCGGCTTTTTGAGCAAAAAAGCAGCTTATTTGAGCATTGATTCACGATGTCAATCGGCCTTCCCAGCTCGGCGAGGCCCAGTGGTGCATCTCGCCAATCTACGGAAGGTTGCGCGGCGCGGCCCAGTAGTGCATTGCGCTATAAATTTGAGCAATAACATAATGTCTGACAATTGGATATGCTCCAACCCTTTCGGAAAGTTTCCTTTTAAATATATTTAAAGGTTTCCGAAAATGTTTGTTAGGATTATATATTACTTGTCATACGTTGTACATTGTATGACCCGCCGCGCACGAGTGCGCGGCTCCCCCTGTATCGTAGAAAATCTACAGGGGTCACCATAGTGGGGGTCACGACATGATACAAAGGATTACTAGACTGATGGAAGTTTATTAAATATTTACTTTTTGCTTGCCGAAATTAGCGCTAAACAACCATCCTACACTTACAGACACAGTCAGTTTGCGCGGCTCATTGTCGATGACATACACTTGGTCCGGCTGCAAATATAATAGCCACACGACTCCTGGAGCTGGACATATACAAGAGAGAAGCGAGTAATATAGGCTAACAAGCTAGGTAAATTGCTCTAACCTGAACCAGAGCCCTCGCGCTTGCAGTAGCCCGCGAAGACCCACGGTTAGTTGAACTAGGTAAAGCAGACCCACAACTGTCTACCGTAATTTTTGTGTTTAGTAATTAAACAGATCAATTTTCGGAAGAAAATGGAAAATTACCACTGCTTTATTGGTTCAGGAAAGATACAAACCAAAAACACGCGACCGCAACCAGCTAAGTTAACTAATAGTAATATTATGGTGCAAGGAAAAAGTCATACGATAGGTTAAATATTAAATATTAAAAATCAAACCGAATTTTAAGCACTCTCACTTTCAATACTCAATACTTGATACCATGTATTATATAGTTGACACATAATTCTGACGCTTTACAACTTCTAGTTCTAGTTCACAGCCAATCTGCAAAAGTATGTTTTCTAATTGCTTAAATGTGTCAAGACGTATGAATTAATAATATCAATAAATAATTCAAATATCACTTCTCGCAGAGACTTCTCACTTCTGGCTATGCCTGATATAACATTAGTATAACAAACCTGATACCATTAGTATTACAAACTATAGAGGACGATTACCATGGAGAGTTGACTGAAACTTCCTATCAAAATTGCAATCTGGGATCCCGCATAGGGAAGCCCACAATGTGGTGCCACATTTTCGCAATTGCCACATTAGTTTAAGTTTTTGAGTTATTTCAGTTTTATGGCGCATCTCCTCATGATGACCGTCATCTTATAATTTAACCAAAAGACCAAATGTTAAATACTGAATACTGATTAACATATTGCTAATCTTAATCTCTGTAATTCAGAATCGTCAATCCTAAAAATGTCAAACATTTAATATCATTGAATTGCCAAATTAATTAAAATGCGTATTAGCACATAAAAAACAAATGATCAACATCAAATTTATTCCCTAACAACAGATGCTATTAAAGATTAATTGTCTTGATTTCTTATCAACACATATTGTGTCCGAACAGCCTGGCAACACGGGGTTCACACGTGCAGCACCAGACACTCGCCCACGTGCTGCAACACGGGGTCCACAACATTTCCAGCTCAATAATCATCCTCCTCATCAACTTGCTTCTTGTGCTCTTGCTTGTTGTCTTGTTTGTTGTACAACTCAGCCACCTGCTCCGCTGAGGTGGCCTCCTCTGCTGTTTTGTCATCTCTGATCCTTATAAAACGGGGGAACCTGAGAGAAATACCCTTATCCGGATCAACCTGCCCGACAGCAGCAGTATAAATAGGAGATATGGTCATGTCAGCACACTTCACCTCCCACACCAGAGCCGGCTCAAACCACACATCAGGAGCACTAGACTCCGGGAAGGAGTAGTAAGGTTTAGCTTGAGTAACTATGTGTTGAGCGAGGGCTGCGTGGTGTCCTGCCAGGTCCTCGTCAGTAAAACCCGTCCCTATCTTACAGATAGCTTGATACTGCTCACTGTCCGGGTCGTAGCAAGCTAACAAGTATCCACCATACGAACCTGATCTCTTACCCTTGCCGTTAAACGCTCCGATAACAACCAAATCTAGAGAATCACCACAGCCCTCCAGGTAGTCCTTCTTCACTTTCAGCCAGTTGTGTGATCGTTTAGCTATCTCATATGTCGCGTCCACGTCCAGTGTCTTGACCATGAGGCCCTCACACTGTCCTTTGATGGATTCTTCCAAAAAAATTTGGATCTCCTCCGTATCATTACAATCTTTGGCTGTAGCGAATATAAATTGTCCGGGTACTTCTTTAAAAGCGGAGTGGAGGAGTTCCCGTCTCTTCCTGAAGGGTTCTCTGATGAGACTTTCTCCGTTCAGATAGAGTAGATCAAACGCAAACAAACATACTATTACTTTGATCTCGTTGACGTCCGCATCTTTTCGTTTCCTTGTGGTCAGAATCTGAAGAAGATGATATAACATATCGTTTTCATTAGTGATATGATCACTTGATATAGCTAAATGGGCTGTTCTAAATAGAAACATAGGCTTAATTGTCGACTGCAAGAAAGCTTAAGTGTTAAATTAAAAGTACAAAACATAATTGAATTAATACGAATATAAACAAGTTGTTTAAAGGTTACCTGAAAAGGCAAGATTTGTTCCCTCTCCACATCCCACGCTACCACCTCACAGTCCAGCATGAAACTGTTGGTTCCCTCTGTCAAACAGCTTCCTATCCTACTGATAATATCCGGATATTTAGATGTGTTGTTCTCCTGGTTCCTGGAGAAGATACTGATCTCTCCGGTCTCACTGCACTGGATCTGGGCTCGCTCCCCGTCGTATTTATACTCGCACGTAAATTTAGATCCTTCAAATCTGGTTAGAACCTGAAATCAGATAGATAATAAAGTAAAGAAATGTCAGCAAGCTCACCGCCCAGAAGCAACATATGAGTGCAGCAAAATTTTGCAATCCTGCACTTGCATAAAATTGCTTTATGTATGGCAAATTTAAAAAATTGAGCGGGCGATTATTTGCAAAATGTGTGGCATGCGTGCGGATTCTACTGCAGTGAGTTTCCACAACCTCTGTAACCGCCTATATTGAGCTGCACTAACTGACGTAATTTATCACTGCATAAAAAACTACAAACATGATTTAACGAAACTACAAACGCCAAAAAAGGATCCTGACCTCTGAAATACCCTTAGTGGGATGGGCTAACATGGGCTTGACGGGAACTCCTGGTGTTAGTTTACAGTACGCAGCACTCTCCAGCACACCGTGTTCCCTGATCATCTCAATAATGTGCTCGAAGTTGGGGAACTCGCAGAACGACGTCTTTACCACCTCAGCAGCGTCCTCCTTGGCTGACACCATGTTTTTGGAGGACACGGCACAGTCCTCACTACCCCCAGGAGGGGTGAGGACAGTGGCGTGGCCTAGAGACACAAGGACCGTCTGGTCTGCTAGACCACACCGCAACTTGCCGAGAAGGGAGCGGGTTATGTAGCGAGCTTCGCTCCCTTGTGCAGACACCAGCATCTTCTTTATCAGTGCTATCTTCTGGGCTGAGGGGAGAAGTCATTTAAACACGTGTTATAAAAACAAGGCAATAAGTTTACTTGCATTGCGATGTTCCGCTTTAATATATAACTTTGAAAAGTTAGCTCATAATTAGCACACATCAAGTTTGTTCACAACTTACATTGTCCTTGATTACCGCTTATGGCAGTTATTTTGAGAAAAGTCTCGAACACCAGCTTTACGGTAAGAGGCTTCGGTTTAAACATCATCTTTTGGTTGGACCGGGAGGATTCTGCTACCAAGCCCAGGTCTCCTGTAAATAATGCTTACAACTATTGGAGTTCATAGTTTCAGCTCTTAAAAAGAAAATCCTACAATCAGGTGATAATGGACTGACTTCAGTTTGAATAGAACTACTACAAACTTACCGAGTTCACTCATTTTAGATTTCTGAGTCTTGATGTTTACCCCACATGCCTCAGCGACTGCCCTCATGACCACCGTCTCCCCCACACCTAGCTCCACTCCTTTATACGCTGGTGCTACCTGGTATGTTAATTAATTACCTGGTATGTTAATTAATTACCTGGTATGTTAATTAATTACCTGGTATGTTAACTAATTACCTGGTATGTACAAATATCCTTTGTAATATAATCCTGTGTATCTGAAGATTCAAGATATTTTGTGCAGTGTTCCACCTTATCTAACCCTTAAGGGATTGGTAGAATTAGCGAGGCTCGACCCTACAACCTATCCATTTTAAATTATCAAAGCTACCACTATACCACCAGCTCTTTAAAAAATTATTTCTGACAGAAGTGGGATTCGAACCCACGCTCTTTCGAACTGGTGCCTAAAACCAGCGCCTTAGACCGCTCGGCCATCCTGCCATGAAACAAATTTCCAAGATGTAGAAGATAACATGTCCACTGCACTGGACATTGTCCAGTAACGTGTTTAATTATGCACACTACAATTATCGTTAAAATAAGTCTTTTATTAAGTAAGAAGCAGACCTGGTTAGTACACAGATAGACACAGAGATGTAGATCATCAGGTGTCAAAATACACACGGACCGTAAGAAGTTACTCAGCAACATTGTCTTTTCTAGTCGCTTTGTCGTTCCTTCTATAACCTGTAATTTGAAAATTACGTGTTTTAATTTAACGTTTTCTTAATAATGGCAGCAATTTAAAAAATAAAGCGGGCTGGTTTATGAACCATTGTTCGATGTAAAAAATGGCGAATTTTCTTACGAAATACCAGTTTGGTTTGTGTTTTAAGTCAATCGAAATAGAGGATCAGATTTATCATATAATTTATCAATTTGCTGGCAGTATCGCACGATATAAAATGATTATAAAATGTTCTACAAAAGAATATAGATTAACAAACCTTAAGGTATCAGAAAGAGCTTTGTACGGTACATCCTGACCAGATTTCCAGATAGCATCCTTACTTGGAACGTAGCCAGATTTACCCGGATTATAACCACCTGTAGAGTTAGCTGACACAAGGGATACTCCTTTCGAACCCACACCAGGAGTTTCTATCTCTTTTTTCACAGGTTTAGATTCCGGAGTTTTTGTTTTGGACAATCGAGGCTTAGACTCCGGGGTTTTCGTTTTTGAGGCTGTGGGAGATTTTGTTTCTTTTTTTAGGACAGGAGACTTGCCTTTGCTTTTCGTGACAGAGGCCTCCTCGGAAGATTCGGGACATAAAGTTTCTTTAAGATTAACCTTCAGACTATTATCCTTAGTACTGTTGTCTGATTTATCAGCACAATTTTCAGAGCTCACTGCTCGTTTCTTGTAAGAGAAACTAGAGAGTTTAGAGGATACAGGAGATGGTCGGATGGCGGAGGATGGTGGAGGTGATGTTTCCATCTCCTCTGGAGATGAGATATCCTCAGGTATCTGCACTTTTAGTTTGTTAACATGGGGGGTCTGGACCCTGTTCTTAAGTTTAGATCTGAATTCTTTAGACAGTTTGGCAGTTTTACGTTTAGGTATAGAGGAAGGGGCGGCAGGGCTCGGTGTGCAAGGAGATGCTGGTTTAGTGGTTATTAAGGTGTTTTCAGTATCTGACCCACTTTCGTCGGACTCTAGTATTTGAACCCTTCTTCGTTTTCCTGATTTTATGGGAGAAGAGGTGGGTGAAGATTGCGGGTCCTCCCTCGGTTCCTCATCTGCTATTCTTACTTTTTTAACTTCCGTCACAGCTGCTTCAACCTCATCCCTTTTAACTCCTTTTGGCGAATTCTTTGATTTCCCGTTGTTTTTGCTTTTGAATTTTTAGTCTGGGGCTTTTCTTTCAAAACATTTGGAGATTTTGAAGATTTTGAAGAGGCGGAATTTGAAGAAGTGGTGGAATTTGACGGTGGAGATTTTAGTTGACTGAAAGGGCTTGAGGAAGAGGCCTTATTGGAGAAGAAGGAAGTGATGGACTTTTGATTCTCCGACATCTTGTAGACAGTCCCACGTCCTTTCCTAAAATAGATCCAATTTATAATAAGATTGAATTTCATGTTCTTTGTCTGAAGGTTTAAGCTGAGTGCGAGAAACAAGATATGGTAGATATTTCATATGTATTTTGAAAGTTCAGAAAAATTGTCAGCAGAAGATTCGACAACTTGAGACTTCTACTTTAGTGCTTTTGAATACAAGTTTACAGAACATTTTAGCTCTGAATGGTGAATGAGTCCACTTTTAACAATTTTCATAAACAAAACAAAAGTGACACGGTTGTTGGTGCAGAAAATATCCCGAATTTTTACAACAAAAATACTATGATACATCAATACTCAAACATGAACAGGTAAACACAATTATTCCATATAAACAATATTAAAATGAATCGATATGATTGATGCTTACAAATGTCACAAGTGTTCAAAAAAGATTAATACACAAACTGTACACAGCCCAGTCTATTTTGTTATCATGATGGTGCAACAGTAAGATATGTACGGCCCGGAAGTAGTTGATGCAGAGTACAAACCTTATAAGACATAACTGTCATGAAGATGTAACTAGGTGAGACCGAGCTAATAGGTGAGACCGAGCTAATAGGTGAGACCGAGCTAATAGGTGAGACCGAGCTAATAGGTGAGACCGAGCTAATAGGTGAGACCGAGCTAATAGGTGAGACCGAGCTAATAGGTGAGACCGAGCTAATAGGTGAGACCGAGCTAATAGGTGAGACCGAGCTAATAGGTGATACCGAGCTAATAGTGATACCGAGCTAATAGGTGAGACCGAGCTAATAGGTGAGACCGAGCTTATAGGTGAGACCGGGCTAATAGGTGAGACCGAGCTAATAGGTGAGACCGAGCTAATAGGTGATACCGAGCTAATAGGTGAGACCGAGCTAATAGGTGATACCGAGCTAATAGGTGATACCGAGCTAATAGGTGAGACCGAGCTAATAGTCGTTACCAGTGCGTGGCTTTACTTGAACAGTAATAGTTCATTATATATTGTTGCCTAAATCTTGCTAATATCTTAATTACAAGTATTCTTAACTGCGAGTGTATCTCAACTAAAAAATATATAATACAAACATTTATAAACTATTCACTATTCTAGTATTCTATACACAACCCCTTATATGTCAACCGTGGGCCCTCCACCCTAGTTGGGAGGCCGCGTCGTTGCCATTTTCACAATGAGATAGGTCAGATAAATTAAGTTGGGGGTAACTCCTTGCAAGTCCGTTAATAATGATGCGCGTTTAAAAGAGGTCTGGCTGTGTTGATAAAAATAATAAATCATGAAATATAACAATGAAAAATTTAAGGCACCTACTTCTTATCAACAAGTTTCCAAAGTAATAATAAAATATGTGTGTTTTTAAGATTCTCCGCAGAATTCTACTCATTTGTGTGAGCTCAAAAGGGGGGGAGGGGGGGGGGGGGCGCTCAAAATATACTTAAAACTTCACGTTTACTAGTCAGTTCGCTACATGAAAAAAAACAGTAGTTTTTATGCATCTTAACTTTTTAAGACGATTCCTTTTCAACGATGCCAAGTTTGTTTATTTCGTCCTGCAAAGTCTCTCGGGCGTTCCGATGATATTGAGCGCTTTTACAGCAGCAGAGCGAACATCGCTGATCATGTCATTCCTCCAGGTGTCCAGCAACGCGGTCACAGAACCAGGACTCTGAAACTTACCTAGAGCCACACACGCGCTCTCACGCACCAACCTGTCTACATCTTTCAGCAGCTTGCTAACTTTATCAATAGTAGCAGGGCTGGAGTTACCGGTGTACGAGAGGGAAATACAGGCTACCGCACGTATGTTAGGGTCGTGGTCTCTCAGCAACTTACACAAGGCAGTCACAACCCGCTTGTTTTTAATTTGCCTTAAATTCTGAATACTATCATATCTCACTGAACTCTGAGCATTGAACACCTCCTGCATGCTCAGTCGGACACTGAACCCGTCCTTACAGCGAACCCAAAAGCTATCTGGCATCTCCCTCTGTTCCTCAGATTTCCCATTAGGGAAGACAAACTGGTCATACTGTTCACGGGTTATTGAAGTGGCACTGCGCTCCAAATCAAAACACCAGAATGTCAGAGCTTTTAGAGCCCATGCCTCTTCAAATTGCAACCGACTGTAGTCGTAAGTGTAGTCAGCTTCGATACGTGCTAACACTTTCTTTAATTCAACTCTCTTTTCACTGTCGCCGAAGTTACGGGTCCAAAATCCAACTAGGTGTAGGGAATTGGTTCGACGCAGAAACTTAGATTTAGACCTGGGAAAGGAAACAGATTCCTCCTCCGAGAAGAAAATGTCGTAGTTGGCTAATCTGGAGTCGTCAGATAGGTCCGATTGTAGGGTTTCATTCAAACTCTGGACTATTTGTCGATCATTTTCTTCATCGTCTAGTTTAGGATCAAGGCATATCCATTGCACACAACTCAAAATCAAGCGGAGACCCGCATCCATTTCAGGAGCAACGTCCTTGGGATCACAATAGGTGACAGGAAGTATTTTCTTGTTAGAAATCCGAGCTAACGACACCTCATCTTGGCAAAACTTGGAGGCTACAGAGTGCTCAGTCAAAATGTAAAAGAAAATGTCACATCCAATAACAGCACTACCAATATTCTTGAAGAAGTTACTGCCACCCTTTAATTTCGTGTCCACCCAGACGTCAAAACCGTTAGCTGTTAGAAGATCTCTGATTCTCAACATTAGTTCGGAATCTTGGTGGGAGTAGCTGATCATGACATTGAACTTTGTTGAGTCTGTGAACGGAACAGTCATCTTGGAGCTATTGGAAAAATAATTGTTATGTGGATTTTGAAGGCAATGTTCTCTATTACGTAATAATTGTTCTAAAGAAGATTCTAAACATTTTCACAACAGTCTGTATACTCTGTAAAGACCTATATTCAATTCAAATAAACGTTTGGTGAAGGAAATGACAACGTTAGCCACGAAAATAGGAACAACAGTCAACAGATGCGACGAGAACTCAAATAAAACATACCTATAAATGTAAACAGTAGGATTTCAAATAACAATGAGTTTACGGTCACTTTTTGTTTTGATAGATCATAGAAGTTACATTAGCAGTAAGAGTTGAAATAATATCCCGAGTACTTAAGTCTTAATTATGTTGAGCTGCACTTGTCCGCAATTGATGGACCATATTACGGTGGTCACGTGCTATTTTGGTCCGGTATTGGCTGATCCAGAGTTTCATGTTTCGCTGTATCAATTATGAGAGTGAAAATTGGAAATGTGTACTCGGAAATTATCTCGTAAACCTGTCAAAATCAAATCAAATAAAACTTGAATTGGCGCGATTTGAATAAATGCGCGCGAATTCGATAAATGAGCCAAAGCATATTGCTAGCAATAAGTAAAATGTAGACCCTCTCGATATTCTGGCCATACTCGGATCTGTGGTAGTGTGGCAGAAACTATAAATAGTGGCAAGAAGTTAAGTTGTTCAGTCACGTATCGTTGACAAACAACAGTTTAACATCAACCACCGAGACCTAACAGTTAAAATATTCACAAAGACTCTCGTTAATCATTTTTTTCGTCCTAAGATCAGAGATGTATTACTGGTCATTGGATTGGCCACGCTCAATTTAACATCTATATAAAAAGCCTTGCTGTTGATATGAGATAGTTTAAGCGGTTTCAACTTGTAAATTGTAAGTATTCCGATCCAGAAACCTGTGTGATTACTAGAGAGTAGGGGGGGATGGAACCATATTAAAGTACAGTAGACGACTAACAACTTTATTCGCAGTTGTTTTCCAAACTTAGCGAATACAAAGCAAAAAAACAATGGCATGTAAAGAAACACAAAGTTAGAGAACTAGCGAATAAAAAGTATGTAGTAGGTAATAACATATTGAATACCACTGCTAGGAAACACAAATAAATTACATCAAACCTACAAACGATTAACCATGTAATATGTCATTACGAACCAACATTGGTTTCCAGAATAATCGAGCCAACATAATAGGAAGCACAGTATATACATATAACATATATAGGATATCCAGGATATACTGTATATCCTGGATAGCAGATCATGCGACCACTTATCACGCTGAATGGCTGTTAAAATGAAACAATAATATTGGCTGAACAAAAACTAAAAACTGTGAGTGTTCGGTTTCAAATTCCATCAAAATTAGAGCAACCTCTAGACTGCAAACAGAGCAAACAGAGCAAACAGAGTGCCACAAACAAACCAACACACTGTGGTATGTGTCGAATATTGTGATGATACAGCGATAACACGATCTCAAATTAATTTGACTGTCATTCAAACGAGACCGTAATCAATGTCTAGCAGTAGTACAGCACATGCCGGATACTTGGAATATTTGCTGTCAGACGTACGGGAACATGGCCGAACTTGTTAAGCAGTATACTTATAACTTAATCACGTGAAATAGCAATCATATTGTATGCTAATAAGCAGTGGAGAGCACAAAGTCTGGCCAAAACTGCTTAAATATTCTTCACAAGTTAGTTCAGGACTAAGGTATTATAGTAGAAAACTGGACAGAAGCTAATTTACCAGTGTTCAAATCTGTCAGCAGAATGGCTGCGGTTCTCAGAGTCCCCCACAATTTCCATCCCCACAATATCATGATCCCTCAATCTCATTTGTAACTACCAAAAAGACTAAACAGGGACAACCTCGAACAATTCAATGTTGACAGATTGGACACACCGCAATGCATAATGCACAGTGCACAGTTCATAGTGCACAGAGCACCCACACCTTCAACAAGAGATCTCCAGGCAACACCTGGCAACAGACCTGACACATGAGGCTGCAACATGAAGCTGCCCCCCCCCCACTCCACTCCACACAGCTTCAGAGTACTGTACCCGTGAATAGCTGCTTAACTTTCAAACTTGTGCATTTATATACTATTTACGGTTATACTATTTTCTTTTAAAAAAAACCTTTTGCCGATTTGCGTTATTATGGATGTGAGCCTTTCGGCAGGTTCAACACAATGGGGGGGGGGGGGGGGGGGGGGGGGGGGGTTGGGATCATGAGTATTTTTGATCTCAGAATTTGACCATTTTCGCCGGGAATACTTAAGAATGTCTCTAAAATTATTTTTGAATCTGAGAAATTTTCTCCCTCTCCTGAAAACGTTTCTCAAAAATACTCAAAAACAACTTTTGAGAATGAGAATTTGGCCATTTTAGTCGGGACTCTCAAAAAAACTCATGATCCGCCTTCCCACAATAGCATCAAATCTGTGGCTTGCTACTAGCCTGCCCAGTCCTTATCTTAACCGAATGCAATACTGAGTCTGACTAATGGTATAGAAAACCACAGGCTATAAGTTAGATGTATAACTTATACTATAAGTTAACGCGTGGACTATTCTCAGATATTGAACCCTCGATGCTCAGAGCATACACATCCTGAGGAGTGAGCTACCGTTGCCATGGTTATGGACCTATGGTTACACCGGTTTCTTGGTTATATCTTTAGTCTCCAAGCATGAGAGCAATAAAATTGTAACACCGGGGCAAAGCTTATCTGGTGCTCTTATTCTTCTTGTTTAAAGCTTCAATTCATTTTGCTCATTTTGCTACAGCGGGCCCGCTAGTAAAAGGACTATTACAATGCATAACAGTTGGCACGTGTACCATATTTATTTATTCCCAGGCAATGAGGCAATAGTATTAGTAATACAAATAATGTATCAGCTCACCTCCGGCTCTTAGCCCCTATATCACGCATGGCTGGCGCATGATTGGCTCATATTGAACACGTGACATATTTACAAAATTCGTGGCGACTTAAAGTCGGAGTCTCTAATCTCTATTAGTATTAATAACTGTTTACCATTTCTATAATTGCTCACTGTTTCAGTGATAAACCGTGAAATTTTATGTCGTAGATGCTTACAGTTTACAAACTTGCCGAGTCATGCGGCAACTCGGCAAGTGGGGGGGGGGGGGGGGGGGGAAGTATTTTGATCGTTTACATGCAACAATGAGCTGAATAGTTGTTTGATAGCGGCCGGTTTTTCGTGGGTTACTCTATCATATCTGTCTATTTGTGTTCTATAGTTTTGCCCTCTTCTTCATCTTAAACTATTTAAATAAGCAACATGATTTTCTCGCAAATTTGAAACTTTAGTCTGAAATCTTTTACTTTAATTAAAAGATAGCACTCGGGCCCTACTCCGGGCTATACGAAGATATGTCGTCCTTGGGCTAGTATAGCGCCCTCGAGGACATATATCTATATTATATGTCACACGCGCGGGCGCGTGCGATATATTGTTCCGCCTGCTGCGTTGATATATATTTATATAATAGTTATCATAGAACCGCTAAGTTTATATTTCACATTATTCATTCAGATATGACAGGCAATAAACTTGGTGTATTTCTACTATTAATGTACATAAGAATAACATCAGCTGACTCCCTCGGTAAGTTCACTTAGTTGTAAAACTTTAAATACATAGTAAACAAAAAAGCAATCTGATCATGCCATCATAGAAGCTCACTAAATTTCCTGTTTAGATGTGGTGTATTTTGTTGTTCCTCAAGTTCTTTGATCATAGGATTTCATTATTTCTAATTAAAACAGTAAAATGGCGACTAATCCTCCAACCATCCTATCTTCAGCTCCATCGTACAGCGAGTGGATACAAGTTCCCTGCGCTAAACGCACGAGACGAGTGGGTAAACGAAATTATAGAGGGCAAGAAGTTCCAGATTAGACCGACAAGAAGATAGATAACGTTAACTTTATCTCATGGACGATACAATTTAAAGGAGGATCTAAAACAGCATTCTGGTTTAAAAGAGCGAGTATAAGTGCTGACACTTGTGACGGAGGTTATAAATTCTCTGACGAAAATAAAGATTTCTTCAAACAAGGTGGAGTTCTGACATTCTTTAAGACGTCCACTCAGCTCCAAGTCTGGTTTAACGATGTTGTGGAGGTTACCTGGGTCTACGAGGATGATGAAGACACTGCTGACAGATGTGGCATGAGAGGGGAAATGTCAGGATTAAAGTTCAAGACCAACTATAGGAAAGACAAGGTGTCAGCGGAGTATAGATATGAAATTGGTAAGACAAGTTGTATGATTTTTAAAACTCGTTTTTGATCTTGATACATAATCAAGATTGGTGTTAATTGAACAAGTAGTTGTAACAAAGTGAAACTAAGATACAAAGAAACATGCGAATGACTGAAATTATCCCAGATCAATGCAGCATCAGCGGTTACCCAAACCACGTGTTCAAGACAGCAAGCACAACAATAACAGGTCCCGTGGGTGAGGGTAACAGAGTCTGGATCAGCTGCCTCTGTAACCCTCACAGAGTCAGCTGTCTCGATGATGGAAACCCAGGGACAGAGTTTACATGTACGGGTGGTTCATTCAGAGACATTAAAAAGAGCGCTGAGTTGCTCGATATCCTAACTTGCCCTTCAACAGGTAACACTTATTAACACTACTAACACTTATAACACGTACTAACCATTTAGTATAAATTATGCTGATCCAGCTTAACTTGGATATTTCCCCTCAAATACGGACTCATGCACACGTGACTAGCTGACCGCACCCTTTTCATCTGTCCTGTGAAACATATCATAGCTCAAGAAATAGGATGAAACCAGAATTATATCCCGATATTCCTTTACCTATCCTGCTCTACAACTTCGTAAACAGGTAATGGTAGATAAAACCTATGGAGAGAGAAATTCAGTGCGTCAGCTAAGTTAAATAGGGAATGTGTGTCTCTTTCATTTGAGGGTGGAATCCAATTCTTTAATTAGTTAATCTTTACTGAAAATAATTGCGGAAATATTTTAAGAATTCCAGTTATATTTCCCTAACAAGCTACCACAGCTACAGGCAGTGTAAATAAGCAAACAGCGCCGGCCGGCTTTTAACCAGCTATTAACCGGCTATTAGCCTGTGTTTTGTTATGGTTATTAACCGGCTATTAACCGGCTATTAACCGGCTATTAGCCTCTGTTTCGTTATGGTTATTAACCGGCTGTTGCCGTGTGAATATTACAATTCTCACTGTTTGTGGTAGTGGCGTCAGGTTCCTTTAAAGTGCTACTAAGCGAGTGCTTTGCATCTGAAACTACATCTGGGGCCGGGAAAACCAAGAGCTGGAGACAGAATGGATTGATCACTGGTGGTGCTGTGAAGTACTAGGATAATGCAGGCAATCCAGAAGATGAAAATCTCCGCTTCATGGCGACTAACAGGGCCATGTTAGTGACTGACTAAGATATAGGTAATTACTTTTACTAATTATAGCCTTATACGTAATTACTGTTACTAATTTGAGACTTGAACTATTTTTTTATTAAATTATAAGTCATTACAAAATTGATATTTCAGGAACTCGGCGGACGTGAAATTAGACGGAATCTGGTAAAAGAAGAAGAAGATGAAAGGGATGAATTTTCGGCTTAAATTGAATATAATCGCACGTTTTTAATGCTAATACAAAGCAGAATCTGTGCAGCGCTTTAGTGTTATGACTTTATTTGTTGTCTTCACAGCACCACCAGTATATATCTTCAACAACTTGTGCTCTAATATACAAAAACAATAACTTGCCAAAGTGGACGGTATTACGCTGAAGACGAGCATATTTAATTTGATTCTGTTTTTATTCTTAATAACTAAATAACTGAGCTGTTCGCGGGAAAATTATATTCTTTTAATTCTTGTACGCATTTAAAACAAATTGCAGGAACTTGATATTGCAAAAGAGTTTATTCAGTTTTTCATGTTCATATAGTTGTATCTTATATATTATATATATTAGCAAACTTTCAATTCTCTTAACTTAAAATGAACTGTTAACAGACTAAAGATCACACTCGTATCAGGATTGTCAGAAGTAGCAAGTATTTAGATCATTTGCCCTCACGGAATACAGGCACGTAGCCAGGGGGGGGGGATAAACCCACAGTAAAGTGAGAAATAGGGAGTGTTATGCTGCTGTGAGATACTAGGACGGGGACCACCATTATAATTATATGTAATCTGACAGAGGAGAACTTTCAATTTAATGTTGTCTGTTGCCTAAAACAAGGCAGAGAATTTCTAGAATCAGGATGGTGGATGTGAATGATAAATAGGCAACGACAAGCGGCTTCGTAAAGCAAACAAACAACATTCCTAGTTTAATACTCACACAGAATGAAAAATAAGCAATTATCATTGAATATTGAAAACAAACCAACACTTACCTTTGTATAATGGGTGTAAAGACTCGAACTATCCGCACTATTCTATGCATACATCACACCTAGTAAACAATGTAAATGTAAATATGTAAATTGTAAATGTAGAGATCACTTTATAAATAATGTAGATTGTAGTACATGTATGTATGTGTAGATTCATCACTTTATTTTAATTCCACATCATCCAAGACATTGCTAACATGCAAAGTGTGACGTCACACCACGTGATGTGACGTCACAAAGTGCCATGTACGGAGTTCCGAGAATTCAGTAATACCCAATGATTGACGTAATTACAAAAATAGTAGAAAATAATTGCCATGCTATGATACACAAGTCAATGTAACAACAGTAAACAGTTAAAATATCATTTACCGATCAAAAGTAAACTGATTAATTAAATTTCAATTCAATTTAAACAAAAAGCAAGACAATGTAATATTAACTCAAAAGGAGGGGATCATGATCTCTCCAGCGTTTCATAAAAGTTTTGTTCACATTTTATAATTGTGTTGCTCTTGCTGTAAATAAATTAACTTGGTCACATATTTTGGATCTTTCAAGCCCCCCCCCCCCCCACTCACAGGTTCAGAAGATGGCTTGTTCTCAGGGACTTCAAACCGCAAAACTGAACTCTTGAATCTCACTTAGATCTCGCAGAAGATGACTTGAATCTCACTTACATTACCCCCCCCCCCCCCCCCCCCCGGCCCCCACTCGCAGATTTCACTACATTTTAAGTAGCTGCGCAACTGTGGCTCGCTTCGTCCTGTCTTTCTTCAGACATACTTCCAGAATCTGTCTGATATCTTGATACTGTAACTTTTCCGGAATGTTTATAGGTTCAGTTGATGTTATCGCTAAATACTTCATCTATGGGGGTTGATTTTTGCGGTGAGGTTTTATAACATTGCTAGTTTGCTTAGGTAATACTCAGAATTTTATTTATAATTATTACTTATTCAGATAAATTCCAAGTATAGTTAGCTTACGAAGGAAATGTTAAAAATGAGAGAAATAATAAAAACCTGCATTTTCTCTATGTGTTGATAAGGAGTCACGCCAAAACACATTTTAAATAGAATACACCCCAGAGAATACACGTCACTCCTGTATCCCAACACGTTCGCTTCTGCATCTCCAAACGTTCCTGATAACATCTGAGGTAGGTAGCGTTTAGTATAAACAACTAGTTACCATAGTTACACTACTAGTTACCATAGTTACACTACTAGTTACCATAGTAACACTACTAGTTACCATAGCTTAGTAACACTACTAGTTACCATAGTAACACTACTAGTTACTACAACATCTGAGGTAGGTAGCGTTTAGTATAAACAACTAGTTACCATAGTTACACTACTAGTTACCATAGTAACACTACTAGTTACCATAGTAACACTACTAGTTACCATAGCTTAGTAACACTACTAGTTACCATAGTAACACTACTAGTTACCATAGTTACACTACTAGTTACCATAGTAACACTACTAGTTACCATAGTAACACTACTAGTTACCATAGTTACACTACTAGTTACCATAGTAACACTACTAGTTACCATAGCTTAGTAACACTACTAGTTACCATAGCTTAGTAACACTACTAGTTACTACAACATCTGAGGTAGGTAGCGTTTAGTATAAACAACTAGTTACCATAGTTACACTACTAGTTACCATAGTTACACTACTAGTTACCATAGTAACACTACTAGTTACTACAACATCTGAGGTAGGTAGCGTTTAGTATAAACAACTAGTTACCATAGTTACACTACTAGTTACCATAGTAACACTACTAGTTACCATAGTTATACTTCTAGTTACCATAGTAACACTACTAGTTACCATAGTTACACTACTAGTTACCATAGTAACACTACTAGTTACCATAGTAACACTACTACTCTACTAGTTACCATAGTTACACTACTAGTTACCATAGTTACACTACTAGTTACCATAGTTATACTTCTAGTTACCATAGTAACACTACTAGTTACCATAGTAACACTACTACTCTACTAGTTACCATAGTTACACTACTAGTTACCATAGTAACACTACTAGTTACTACAACATCTGAGGTAGGTAGCGTTTAGTATAAACAACTAGTTACCATAGTTACACTACTAGTTACATAGTTACACTACTAGTTACCATAGTAACACTACTAGTTACCATAGCTTAGTAACACTACTAGTTACCATAGTTACACTACTAGTTACCATAGTAACACTACTAGTTACCATAGTAACACTACTAGTTACCATAGTTACACTACTAGTTACCATAGTAACACTACTAGTTACCATAGCTTAGTAACACTACTAGTTACCATAGCTTAGTAACACTACTAGTTACTACAACATCTGAGGTAGGTAGCGTTTAGTATAAACAACTAGTTACCATAGTTACACTACTAGTTACCATAGTTACACTACTAGTTACCATAGTAACACTACTAGTTACCATAGTAACACTACTAGTTACTACAACATCTGAGGTAGGTAGCGTTTAGTATAAACAACTAGTTACCATAGTTACACTACTAGTTACCATAGTAACACTACTAGTTACCATAGTTATACTTCTAGTTACCATAGTAACACTACTAGTTACCATAGTTACACTACTATTTACCATAGTAACACTACTAGTTACCATAGTAACACTACTACTCTACTAGTTACCATAGTTACACTACTAGTTACCATAGTTACACTACTAGTTACCATAGTTATACTTCTAGTTACCATAGTAACACTACTAGTTACCATAGTAACACTACTACTCTACTAGTTACCATAGTTACACTACTAGTTACCATAGTTACACTACTAGTTACCATAGTTACACTACTAGTTACCATAGTAACACTACTAGTTACCATAGTAACACTACTAGTTACCATAGTTACACTACTAGTTACCATAGTAACACTACTAGTTACCATAGCTTAGTAACACTACTAGTTACCATAGTTACACTACTAGTTACCATAGCTTAGTAACACTACTAGTTACCATAGTTACACTACTAGTTACCATAGTTACACTACTAGTTACCATAGTAACCTACTAGTTACCATAGTAACCATACTAGTTACCATAGTTACACTACTAGTTACCATAGTAAACACTACTAGTTAACCATAGTAACACTACTAGTTACCATAGTTACACTACTAGTTACCATAGTAACACTACTAGTTACCATAGTTACACTACTAGTTACATAGCTTAGTAACACTACTAGTTACCATAGTAACACTACTAGTTACTACAACTTCTGAGGTAGGTAGCGTTTAGTATAAACAACTAGTTACCATAGTTACACTACTAGTTACCATAGTTACACTACTAGTTACCATAGTAACACTACTAGTTACCATAGTAACACTACTAGTTACTACAACATCTGAGGTAGGTAGCGTTTAGTATAAACAACTAGTTACCATAGTTACACTACTAGTTACCATAGTTACACTACTAGTTACCATAGTAACACTACTAGTTACCATAGCTTAGTAACACTACTAGTTACCATAGTTACACTACTAGTTACCATAGTTACACTACTAGTTACCATAGTAACACTACTAGTTACCATAGTTACACTACTAGTTACCATAGTTACACTACTAGTTACCATAGTAAGTAGTAACACTACTAGTTACCATAGTTACACTACTAGTTACCATAGTTACACTACTAGTTACCATAGTAAGTAGTAACACTACTAGTTACCATAGTTACACTACTAGTTACCATAGTTACACTTCTAGTTACTATAACATCTGAGGTAGGTAGCGTTTAGTATAAACAACTAGTTACCATAGTTACACTACTAGTTACCATAGTAACACTACTAGTTACCATAGTTACACTACTAGTTACCATAGTAAGTAGTAACACTACTAGTTACCATAGTTACACTACTAGTTACCATAGTTACACTTCTAGTTACTATAACATCTGAGGTAGGTAGCGTTTAGTATAAACAACTAGTTACCATAGTTACACTACTAGTTACCATAGTAACACTACTAGTTACCATAGTTACACTACTAGTTACCATAGTAACACTACTAGTTACCATAGTTACACTACTAGTTACCATAGTAACACTACTAGTTACCATAGTTACACTACTAGTTACCATAGTAAGTAGTAACACTACTAGTTACCATAGTTACACTACTAGTTACCATAGTTACACTTCTAGTTACTATAACATCTGAGGTAGGTAGCGTTTAGTATAAACAACTAGTTACCATAGTTACACTACTAGTTACCATAGTAACACTACTAGTTACCATAGTTACACTACTAGTTACCATAGTAACACTACTAGTTACCATAGTTACACTACTAGTTACCATAGTTACACTACTAGTTACCATAGTAACACTACTAGTTACCATAGTAACACTACTAGTTACCATAGTTACACTACTAGTTACCATAGTAACACTACTAGTTACCATAGTTACACTACTAGTTACCATGGTTACACTACTAGTTACCATGGTTACACTACTAGTTACCATAGTTACACTACTAGTTACCATAGTAACACTACTAGTTACCATAGTTACACTACTAGTTACCATAGTTACACTACTAGTTACCATAGTAACACTACTAGTTACCATAGTAACACTACTAGTTACCATAGTTACACTACTAGTTACCATAGTTACACTACTAGTTACCATAGTTACACTACTAGTTACCATGGTTACACTACTAGTTACCATGGTTACACTACTAGTTACCATAGTTACACTACTAGTTACCATAGTAACACTACTAGTTACCATAGTTACACTACTAGTTACCATAGTTACACTACTAGTTACCATGGTTACACTACTAGTTACCATGGTTACACTACTAGTTACCATAGTTACACTACTAGTTACCATAGTAACACTACTAGTTACCATAGTTACACTACTAGTTACCATAGTTACACTACTAGTTACCATGGTTACACTACTAGTTACCATGGTTACACTACTAGTTACCATGGTTACACTACTAGTTACCATAGTAACACTACTAGTTACCATAGTTACACTACTAGTTACCATAGTAACACTACTAGTTACCATAGTTACACTACTAGTTACCATGGTTACACTACTAGTTACCATGGTTACACTACTAGTTACCATAGTTACACTACTAGTTACCATAGTAACACTACTAGTTACCATAGTTACACTACTAGTTACTACTTTACTACAACATCTGAGGTAGGTAGAGTTAAATAATTTATATAATATATTTTTTATCAAGTCCTTTTTTTGGTTTAATAAGGTTAAAACGAAGGTGCATACTGCATACTCGAGTATACTGAGTATACTCATTGAGTAGTTTCCCATTATTATAGAGTATAACTCAACTACAGTAAGCTTCTAAAGTAACAAGATAAGGGTACAGATATAATGGCTCCTGGGGTACCTCATGAAACAATAATTCGAGCATTCCTGCTTCACCATGTACGTGTGCTTCACGGTTATGACGTTGCCAGGCTTATAATTTGAAAATATCATCCCTATTGTTTTTCGATTAATCGAAGCTATCTCTGAAGAATACAATTTCGGGCTATAAATAATGCAGCTACTTTGCCTGTTCCTCTGTTCACGCTCATATTGTCCGAGCACATTGTTCTCGGCTGGTCTTAATTCGACCGTTTGTACTTCATATCTAGCTGTCCTGACTGTCGTTTTCTGTTTGAATTTGTAAACAATTGTGAGTCGTGATTTTTTATACCACTGTGAATTTATTTCCGGACCTGCAAGATGGATGAAACATACGTAGACTCTAGCAAATTAAACGTAATGATCAGTTACTCCCACCAAAACACTGAGCTGATGTTGAGAATCAGGGACCTGCTATCTTCTAGCAACTACGAGGTATGGGTGGACACTAACCTTAAGGCAGGGTGTCAGTTTTTCAAGAATATTGGCAGTGCTGTTATTGGATGTGATGTCTTCTTGTTCATTTTGACTGAGCACTCTGTTGCTTCCAAGTTTTGCGAAGATGAGGTGTCTTTGGCTCGGATCTCCAACAAGAAAATATTGCCTGTCACTTTTTGCAATCCCATGGATATTTCGTCGGAAATGAACCCTGGTCTTCGTCTAATTTTGAGTTGCACTCAATGGGTATGCCTTGATCCAAAAGTTGATGACGATCAAAACGATCGTCAAATTGTCCAAAATCTTAACCAAGCCTTACAATTAGAACATACTGAAAATTCGAGGTTGGATATCTATGATATCGCTTTCTCTGAAGAAGAATCTGCCGCTTCCGTAGGACAAAATAATAAAACCCTTCATCGAACTGATTGTAATCTATTTTTAGAACCATTTTGGAAGAGACATTTTGGAGAAACAAAGAAGAAAGTAGAGGTCAAGAAAGTGCTAGCGCATATAAAGGAAGACTACAAGTTTGATTATGAGAAATTAGGTTTTGATGACACGCAAACGGCCAAAGCTTTGGCTCTGTGGTGCTTTGACTTACAACATCATGATACAGTCGTTACAAGAGCTCAATATGACATGCTGGTGTACGCCAATGGATACTTGAAAGGGAAAGAAGAAGGGCCTGATACATTTTGGATACGATGTAAGGATGGATTTAGCATGGAGCTCACTATGGGGCAAGTTTTCAATGCAGAGAGTTCGGTGCGATACGATTGCATCGAGAATCTTGGCGAGATTAAGAACAAAAGATTTACCACCATGCTGTACAAATTGCTAAAAGACAGTGATCCAAATATTCGTGCAGTGGCCTGTATTGCTCTTCCCCGCACGGTAAACATGCAGACTATGAACACAACAATTGAACGTGTTCTAAAGCTTCTCAAAGACCCAGACAGGTTAGTCCGTCAAAGTGCGTGTGTTGCTCTAGGTATCTTCAGAAAACCTGCCTCAGTTCCAGCCTTGCTCATCACCTGGAGAAACGATATGATAAGTGATGTGCGCAGTTCAGCACTGAAGTCGCTGGAGACTATAGGGACATCTGAGGCTCTTGAGGGCATCAAGGTTGTGAAGACACTGCAAGATGAAATTAAAAAACTTGGCATGTAAAAATATCGTTAGATAAGACTTACCGGATTTGTTTTAGCTAGAAACCTTTTGTATAGATAGGGCCCCCTCTCTTGTGTAAAAGCGACATGAACCCTAAAAGGTAGCCAGAAGCGACCCAAAAGCGACCGGAAGCGACCTAAAGGGCCCCCTTTCTTGTGTAAAAGCGACATGAACCCTAAAAGGTGACCAGAAGCGACCCAAAAGCGACCGGAAGCGACCAAAAAGCGACCAAAAGCGACCAAAAAGCGACTAGAAGCGACTAGAAGCGACCAGAAGCGACCAAAAAGCGACTAGAAGCGACCAAAAGCGACTAAAAGCGACCAAAATTTAAAAAGCGACCAGAAGCGACCAAAAAGCGGCCTCAACGTGAAAAAAGCGACCAAAAGTCGACGTTGTTAAAAAAAAAGTGACCCAAAAGGGCCACTTTTCGTCATCAAAAGCGACGGTCGCTTTTACACAAGAGAGGGGGCCCTAGATATTTTTATTTGTCTGATGTTACAATAGTGCATATATTTTACAAAAGTACATATTATGTATTTTATAATGCATTTAACCATACATTTTGCTATATTTGTATTTTATTGCTGATATTAATAAATCTGTATTGTGAAATTGGGAATGTTATGTGTACAGGAATACAGTTGTGGTGTTCTCGAGAGCACGGTACATGGTGAGCATGGTGAGCATGGTACATGGTGAGCATGGTGATATCAGACACCTGACGACGCAATATAAAATAATTTTCGTCTACAGCGATCTGAAACTACTAGTGACCATAGTAAGTAGTAACACTACTAGTTGCTATAGTAACACTACTAGTTACTATAGTAACACTACTAGTTACCATAGTAACACTCCTTCATAAACCTAACGATCTAAAACAACTGCTTTTGCCACCACAACAAATAGTCGCACCACTGATTTTACTGCTGAAATTATAATCTTCTAATTTTGTAGATAATACCCCAGCGCAGTTAAGTACTATACGCTTGAGCGATTCGTGAATAACTATACTAAGTAGTGCGAAGTTGAACTGATAATTTTACTTGAGTAACTTGTATATCTATTGAGTTTCTTTGGAAATCCATTATTGATAAAATCTACATTCCCATTAAGACAGGAATTCCGATAGCGGTATCCTAATAGTAGTCCCGTGCTTTGTACCCTATAAAACTCAAGTTCGGAAGGAATAAGCTTTAACTTAAAGCCACAGGTATTTTGAAACTTTCGGATATAATATGCTTTGAAGAAGATAAATCTGAAACTTACAGATTGCGGGATTGCCGCTAAGTTGTATTATATAGACACACGTGTCACCCCCCGGCCCCCCCCCCCTGTATAAAACCCTCACAATTATTGAGAAGGTTGTTTAGATGATCCTCTAGTAAATGTTGGGAAGACAGATACTATCTGACTAGTGACAAACATGAATAAATAGAGAAGCACGTGACGCTGTCACGTGACGTCACGGTCTACTAACCGGTCAGGCTTGACGCTGATTAACGTGACTAAATGTCCCTAAATGTGTTATCGAGCTGACTGATCGATTAGACTTTGCCCAGGTGGCATTATTGACATACAAAATATCCCATGCGGGAAGAAAACTCAACTTTTTCAAGCTACATCGGGCAGTTTACGTTGTAAAGTTGAGTGACGTTTTTATCTTTGGTTACCATCCGGCAAAATCATTATTTCAGAGATATCCACGTGATATTTTGTGGCTCTAGTAACTCGTAATGACAGATTCTCAATTAATATTAGAATAATTTTGCTCTTACAACCTGATCAAGATAAAATGCAGCCTTCAAGGAAATGCAATACTGAACTTGTGGTAGAATTCTTATTTTCAAGACGAACGTCGTTGTTGAAAACCTTAAATTATCTAATAACTTTGATTTTTAATTAAGTTTGCCAACAGCTGAAAAAAAGTCCTCTCTTATGCGTATTTGAATTAAGCCAACAGTAACAGCTGCTGCACAGTTAGCTTTGAATTAGTCTTGAGGGTTCTGTATCAATAAATCAGGCACGGGTCTGGGTGGTAGTTGGTGAAGTTAACGGAAACATAGTGCTGCATAGTCTGCAGTCGAAGTCATGGATCCACAATAACTGTTATTGTGGATCTTCGACTGCACGTGATCGTTTCGTTATATTTGTTCCAACTGTTGCACGTCTAGCTCCCAAGCGTTATTTATATGTTCCTGCCCGGCAGTTAAAGAACTAATATCTTTCTGATATTGATAAGATTTGAGTCCGTTCATTTTCATAGTACAGTAGTAGTAGTATTATAGTACAGTAGTAGTACAGTAGTAGTACAGTAGTAGTAGTATTATAGTACAGTAGTAGTACAGTAGTAGTAGTATTATAGTACAGTAGTAGTACAGTAGTGGTAGTATTATAGTACAGTAGTAGTACAGTAGTAGTAGTATTATAGTACAGTAGTAGTACAGTAGTGGTAGTATTATAGTACAGTAGTAGTACAGTAGTAGTACAGTAGTAGTAGTATTATAGTACAGTAGTAGTACAGGGAGTAGTAGTATTTAGTACAGTAGGTATACAGGTAGTAGTAGTATTATAGTACAGTAGTAGTACAGTAGTGGTAGTATTATAGTACAGTAGTAGTACAGTAGTAGTAGTATTATAGTACAGTAGTAGTACAGTAGTAGTACAGTAGTAGTAGTATTATAGTACAGTAGTAGTACAGTAGTAGTAGTATTATAGTACAGTAGTAGTACAGTAGTAGTAGTATTATAGTACAGTAGTAGTACAGTAGTAGTAGTATTAAAGTACAGTAGTAGTACAGTAGTAGTAGTATTCATATTAATGAATTTAAAAGGTAGTCTGTTAAAGCAACGTAAAAATTCTGCAAATGAGCACATCTACAAAACAGTTCCATGTTCCATGTTAGTTCCACACGTTAAAGACCATGTATTGTTTTTTTGTATATTAGAGCTTCAGCCACAGGTAGGTTGGTCTGCACGGAGCCCCACAGTTTCAATTCCTTGTTTAACTAGCCGTACAGCAAGGATATCCACTGTGCTCACCATAATCAAAGACGATGATGTTATGAAGCAAACAATCCTAGTATTTGGCTTGGTTCTGCTGTGCAGGTTATCTGACCAAGGTAAAGATTGTCATGTTAATTGTAGTAGCTTTAATTTTAGACAGTTCTTGAATTTATTATTATTATCTGCTACACTGCTACAGTCTAAAGCAAGCGAAAGTGTTTTCAATATACTATTTTTATGTGCAATCAATTTTAAACGTCATTTACTTCAGGACTACTGTGGCCTTCAGTGAGGATAACGCCGGTAGCAGCACAACAATCTAGCATATTACCAGGTCACGAGGCAGGATATGCTATAGATAACGACTTAAAGACCTACGCAGAAGTAACAAAAGATGGTTCACAGTGGTTGAGGGTGGACCTGGGAGGTATCTACTGCATCGACCAGGTTAGAATGAGTCACGTGACCAGGTTAGAATGGATCACGTGACCAGGTTAGAACGAGTCACGTGGAATAAACCAAGGAGGCCTTTAAAACAATATGTGCAAAAATTGTGATAGAAATAATATATATCGGGTAAAGAATATAATTAGTTAACAATCCGTATCCCCTCCAGGTTGTCTGGTACCGTGGTAACAAAACAGAGAGTAACCTAGAGCCCCGGATATACTCCTGCTCAAAGGAGGATTGTACTTGTGAAGGGAGTCACTGTAATGTCTTCCCACTGTCTGTCTACTTATTCAATATTAAGTTTTACCAGCACAGCCCAAACAGAAGAGGAGGAACTCTGGAGTGTAAGATCGGAGACTCGGTTAAAGTTATGGTTAACTCTACCAAAACTGTTGTCTTGCGGGTGTATGAGATGGTGGTTACTGCTATACAAGGTTCGTTAACACTACAAGTGTCACCCCCCCCCACAACAAGTGTCACCCCCCCACTACAAGTGTCACCCCCCCCCCACTACAAGTGTCACCCCCCCCACTACAAGTGTCACCCCCACACTACTACAAGTGTCACCCCCCCCCCCCCACTTCAAGTGTCACCCCCCCCCCCCACTACAAGTGTCACCCCCCCCACTACAAGTGTAACCCCCCCCATGCCACTACAAGTGTCACACCCCCCCCCCACTACAAGTGTCACCCCCCCACTACAAGTGTAACCCCCCCAACTACAAGTGTCACCCCCCCCCACTACAAGTGTAACCCCCCCCCCACTACAAGTGTTACCCCCCCCCAACTACAAGTGGCACCCCCCACTACAAGTGTCACCCCCCCCCACTACAAGTGTCACCCCCCCCCCCACTACAAGTGTCACCCCCCCACTACTACAAGTGTCACCCCCCCCCACTTCAAGTGTCACCCCCCCACTACAAGTGTCACCCCCCCCCACTACAAGTGTCACCCCCCACTACAAGTGTAACCCCCCCACTACAAGTATAACCCCCCCCCCCCACAACAAGTGTCACCCCACCCCCCCCGCCCCCCCCCCCCACTACAAGTGTCACCCCCCCCCACTACAAGTGTCACCCCCCCACTACAAGTGTCACCCCACCCCCCCCCCCCCCGCCCCCCCCCACTACAAGTGTCACCCCCCCCCACTACAAGTGTCACCCCCCCCCCCACTACAAGTGTCACCCCCCCCCCACTACAAGTGTCACCCCCCCACTACTACAAGTGTCACCCCCCCCCCACTTCAAGTGTCACCCCCCCCACTACAAGTGTCACCCCCCCCCACTACAAGTGTAACCCCCCCAACTACAAGTGTCACCCCCCCCCCCCCCACTACAAGTGTCACCCCCCCACTACAAGTGTCACCCCCCCACTACAAGTGTAACCCCCCCCCCCCACTACAAGTGTCACCCCCCCCCCCCCCCCACTACAAGTGTCACCCCCCCCCCCACTACAAGTGTCACCCCCCCCCCCACTACAAGTGTCACCCCCCCCCCCCACTACAAGTGTAACCCCCCCACTACAAGTGTAACCCCCCCACTACAAGTGTCACCCCCCCCCACTACAAGTGTCATCACCCCCCCCCCCCCCCCCCAACTAAAAATAAACCCATCTACCCAACAGTGGCGGCGTGCACCACTGCTACCCAAACACTCACAGATCTAAAAACAAAACCATTTTTGAAAGATTTAAAAAAACACCACCATTGAAAAATCATAAATGCAATCGCATATTCCGAACGTTCAATATTGTACAGTAAAAGAGTTAAGGAACATCAGCTTTATTTTTAACTCAGATATCAATACCGTAATTTTGAGGGGAACAATTAATTTTACAAGTCATGTGACCAGGTTACAAAATAGACATTTGTGGACGGTCCAAGACAAAATCTAGTGAGTGTAAGCTTTAATTAGATTGAGTGTCAGACGAGTCGATTATGAGTATTTTTATCGCGAAATCTTTGCATGCAACAATCAACCACAGATGATCTAATCTATGAATATTTAAATTGGCAGTGTAATTAAAGGTACATACCTCTGGTGCAATGTAATTGGGCGTGCCCTCAGGTTGCTTGATTATCATACTGGTAACCTCGTCTTGTATCATTTGACTGATACCAAAGTCAATCAGCTTCAATTTCCCTTTCACTAACATAAAGTTCTGAGGTTTCAAATCCTGCAAGAATACATAATATTTTAGAGCCGAGCGTGCTTAAAATCAGATGTTGTAAATTTAACAAATGTTTTGACAATCTTAAACCTACACAATATAATGACAGCACAAACCTTGTGGACTATGCTATAACAAACCTTGTGGACTATGCTATAACAAACCTTGTGGACTATGCTATAACAAACCTTGTGGACTATGCTATAACAAACCTTGTGGACTATGCTATAACAAACCTTGTGGACTATCCTATAACAAACCTTGTGGACTATGCTATAACAAACCTTGTGAACTATGCTATAACATACCTTGTGGACTATGCTATAACAAACCTTGTGGACTATGCTATAACAAACCTTGTGGACTATGCTATAACAAACCTTGTGGACTATGCTATAACAAACCTTGTGGACTATGCTATAACAAACCTTGTGGACTATGCTATAACAAACCTTGTGGACTATGCTATAACAAACCTTGTGGACTATGCTATAACAAACCTTGTGGACTATGCTATAACAAACCTTGTGGACTATGCTATAACAAACCTTGTGAGTTGTGAACTATGCTATAACAAACCTTGTGGACTATGCTATAACAAACCTTGTGGACTATGCTATAACAAACCTTGTGGACTATGCTATAACAAACCTTGTGGACTATGCTATAACAAACCTTGTGGACTATGCTATAACAAACCTTGTGGACTAAGCTATAACAAACCTTGTGGACTATGCTATAACAAACCTTGTGGACTATGCTATAACAAACCTTGTGGACTATGCTATAACAAACCTTGTGGACTATGCTATAACTCTATAACAAACCTTGTGGACTATGCTATAACAAACCTTGTGGACTATGCTATGGGAGTGTATACAGTGGACTGCTCGCAACATCTGCTGCCACAACAAGCACACCTCGTAATAGGACTGCTTGCAGGGCGACTTTACAAGCCAAGGCGTCTGCTGCATGTAGGTGTGCAGATCTGTCTCTCCAAACTCCAGTACCATACTCAGACGACAGCGCTCTACTCTAAACTGGGATACAGATATTGTTAGCTTGTACCATACTCAGACGACAGCGCTCTACTCTAAACTGGGATACAGAGATTGTTAGCTTGTACCATACTCAGACGACAGCGCTCTACTCTAAACTGGGATACAGATATTGTTAGCTTGTACCATACTCAGACGACAGCGCTCTACTCTAAACTGGGATACAGATATTGTTAGCTTGTACCATACTCAGACGACAGTGTTCTACTCTAAACTGGGATATAGATATTGTTAGCTTGTACCATACTCAGACGACAGCGCTCTACTCTAAACTGGGATACAGATATTGTTAGCTTGTACCATACTCAGACGACAGCGCTCTACTCTAAACTGGGATATAGATATTGTTAGCTTGTACCATACTCAGACGACAGCGCTCTACTCTAAACTGGGATACAGATATTGTTAGCTTGTACCATACTCAGACGACAGTGCTCTTCTCTAAACTGGGATACAGATATTGTTAGCGTGTACCATACTCAGACGACAGCGCTCTACTCTAAACTGGGATCTACAGATATTGTTAGCTTGTACCATACTCAGACGACAGCGCTCTACTCTAAACTGGGATACAGATATTGTTAGCTTGTACCATACTCAGACGACAGCGCTCTACTCTAAACTGGGATACAGATATTGTCAGGATGTACCATACTCAGACGACAGCGCTCTACTCTAAACTGGGATACAGATATTGTTCGCTTGTACCATACTCAGACGACAGCGCTCTACTCTAAACTGGGATACAGATATTGTTAGCTTGTACCATACTCAGACGGACAGCGCTCTACTCTAAACTGGGATACAGATATATTGTTAGCTTGTACCATACTCAGACGACAGCGCTCTACTCTAAACTGGGATACAGATATATTGTTAGCTTGTACCATACTCAGTACGACAGCGCTCTACTCTAAACTCTGGGATACAGATATTGTTAGCTTGTACCATACTCAGACGACAGTGCTCTACTCTAAACTGGGGATACAGATATTGTTAGCTTGTACCATACTCAGACGACAGTGTTCTACTCTAAACTGGGATACAGATATTGTTAGCTTGTACCATACTCAGACGACAGCGCTCTACTGTAAACTGGGATACAGATATTGTTAGCTTGTACCATACTCAGACGACAGCGCTCTACTCTAAACTAGGATACAGATATTGTTTAGCTTGTACCATACTCAGACGACAGCGCTCTACTCTAAACTGGATACAGATATTGTTAGCTTGTACCATACTCAGACGACAGCGCTCTACTGTAAACTGGATACAGATATTGTTAGCTTGTACCATACTCAGACGACAGCGCTCTACTCTAGACTGGGATACAGATATTGTTAGCTTGTACCATACTCAGACGACAGTGCTCTACTCTAAACCTGGGATACAGGTATTGTTAGCTTGTACCATACTCAGACGACAGCGCTCTACTCTAAACTGGGATACAGATATTGTTAGCTTGTACCATACTCAGACGACAGTGCTCTACTCTAAACTGGGATACAGATTTTGTTAGCTTGTACCATACTCAGACGACAGTGCTCTACTCTAAACTGGGATACAGATATTGTTAGCTTGTACCATACTCAGACGACAGTGCTCTACTCTAAACTGGGATACAGATATTGTTAGCTTGTACCATACTCAGACGACAGTGTTCTACTCTAAACTGGGATACAGATATTGTTAGCTTGTACCATACTCAGACGACAGCGCTCTACTCTAGACTGGGATTACAGATATTGTTAGCTTGTACCATACTCAGACGACAGTGCTCTACTCTAAACTGGGATACAGATATTGTTAGCTTGTACCATACTCAGACGACAGCGCTCTACTCTAAACTGGGATACAGATATTGTTAGCTTGTACCATACTCAGACGACAGGCGCTCTACTCTAAACTGGGATACAGATATTGTTAGCTTGTGCCATACTCAGACGACAGCGCTCTACTCTAAACTGGGATACAGATATTGTTAGCTTGTACCATACTCAGACGACAGCGCTCTACTGTAAACTGGGATACAGATATTGTTAGCTTGTACCATACTCAGACGACAGCGCTCTACTCTAAACTGGGATACAGATATTGTTAGCTTGTACCATACTCAGACGACAGCGCTCTACTCTAAACTGGGATACTGATATTGTTAGCTTGTACCATACTCAGACGACAGCGCTCTACTCTAAACTGGGATACAGATATTGTTAGCTTGTACCATACTCAGACGACAGTGCTCTACTCTAAACTGGGATACAGTAAGGTTTTTTTTTTACAAATGTCTCAGACCCATAGCTAGATCTGTGAATTTTAGGCAGACCCACTCGACAGCGGCCAAATTTTGCGCATTATGAGCCCCAAGCCCGATACCCACTTTGCCTCCCAATTATATTATCATCTCGTAACTTCATAATGAAGGTTCCGTTATTCATTTAAAGATTAAGTTTTTTCGATTCTCGGCACGTAGCCCGACACGACACGTAGCCGGGGCGAAGCTTCTTTGGTTGGCTAGGGAGGGGGGAAGGCGCAGCCCCCCCAGAAAATTTTTGAGAAATTATGTGTTTTAGACGACATTTGGCTTTAAAGAAATTTTTAGGACAGTAATAATCAGACATCACAATAATACAAAGTTGGGGGGCTAGGGGGGCGCAGCCCTGGCCTTCGGAAAATTTTTGAGAAATAGGGTGTTCCAGACGACATTTGTAGGACAGCAATAATCAGACATTACAATAATACAAGGTTGGTGGGCTGGGGGGGGGGGGGGGGGCGCAACCCCCGGAAAATTTTTGAGAAATAGGGTGATTCAGACGACATTTGGCATTAAAGAAATTTGTAGGAGAGCAATAATCATACATCAGAATAATATAAAGTTGGTGGGCTAGGGGAGCGAACCCCCAGGAAAATTTTTGAGAAATAGGGTGATTAAAACGGCATTTGGCATTAAAGAAATTTGGGGATAGTAATAATCAGACATCACAATAATATAAAGTTGGGGGGCCGGGGGGGGGGGGGGGGGGGCGCAGCCCCCCAGAAAATTTTTGAGAAATAATGTGTTTTAGACGACATTTGGCATTAAAGAAATTTGTAGGACAGTAATAATCAGACATCACAATAATCTAATAATACAAAGTTGGGAGGCTAGGGGGGCGCACCCCCCGGAAAATTTTTGAGAAATAGGGTGATTCAGACGACATTAGGCATTAAAGAAATTAGTAGGGCAGTAATAATCCTGAGACATCACAATAATATAAAGTTGGTTGGCTAGGGAGGGGGGGGGGGGGGCGCAGCCAATCAGAAAATTTTTGAGAAATTATGTGTTTTAGACGACATTTGACATTAAAGAAATTTGTAGGACAGTAATTATAATCAGACATCACAATAATAAGTTGGAGGGCTAGGCAGGCGCAGCCCTGGCCTTCGGAAACTTTTTGAGAAATAGGGTGTTCCAGACGACATTTGTGGGACAGCAATAATCAGACATTACAATAATACAAGGTTGGTGGGCTGGGGGGGTGGGCGCAGTAATAATCAGACATCACAATAATATAAAGTTGGGGGACTGGGGGGGGGGGGGGGCGCAGCCCCCAAGAAAATTTTTAGAAATTATTTGTTTTAGACGACATTAGGCATTAAAGAAATTTGTAGGACGGCGATAATACAAAGTTGGGGGTGCAGCCCCCGGAAAATTTTTGAGAAATAGGGTGTTCCAGACGACATTTGTGAGACAGCAATAATCAGACATTACAATAATACAAGATTGGTGGGCTGGGGGGGGGGCGCAGTAATAATCAGACATCACAATAATATAAAGTTGGGGGACTGGGGGGGGGGGGGGGGCGCAGCCCCCAAGAAAATTTTTAGAAATTATTTGTTTTAGACGACATTAGGCATTAAAGAAATTTGTAGGACGGCGATAATACAAAGTTGGGGGTGCAGCCCCCGGAAAATTTTTGAGAAATAGGGTGTTTCAGACGACATTTGGCATTAGAAATTTGTAATTTCAGACATCACAATAATACAAAGTTGGGGGCTAGGGGGGAACTCAGTACTTGTCACATTGAATAAGTACATATTGTATAGTGGGATTTGGGAATAATTTACGAAATGCTAAAGTCGATTGCCTGTCGTGTCGTTTAATCAAACAGTCATAAACACAGCCCACTTACCAGGCGACCATTGCATGGGGACTAGGGGGCTTATTTTTTTTGGGGTTCAATTTTTTTCCGGGGGTCTTCCCCTTGGCTACGTGTCTGCATTCTAGTTGCCAGACCCACTCTATTAGAGTGCAGACTCAACATTTTGGTTGCCAGACCCACTATTCTAGAGTCCAGACCCACAATTCTGGTTGTCATATCTCCTATATTCTAGTTCATAGACCCCCAATTCTGGTTGACAGAGTGAAGAATTACCATTCTGGTTGCCAGATTCACTCTTCTAGAGAGGAGACCCACTCTTCTAGTAGGTACAGAGTCAAGACCCACTATTCTAAAATGCAGACCCACCATTCTGGTTGCCAGACCCACTCTTCTGAGGCGAAGACCTACCATTCTGGTTGCCAGCCCCACTCTTCTAGAGTGTAGACGCACCATTCCGATTGCCAGACCCACTATTCTTGAGTGAACACCCACCTTTCGGGTTGCCGGACCCACTATTCTAGACTCTAGACTCCAGACGCACAATTCTGGTTGCCATATATCCTATATTCTAGTTTAGACCCCCAATTCTGGTTGACACTTGACAGAGTGTAGACTTACCATTCTGGTTGCCAGACCCACTCTTCTAGAGTGAAGACCCACTATTCTAGAATTCTTACCCACCATTCTTGTTGCCAGACCCACTCTTAGCTAGAGTGAAGACCCACTATTCAAGAATTCTGACCCACCATTCTTGTTTCCAGACCCACTACCCTAAGGTGCAGACCCACCATTCTGATTGCCAGACTCACTCATCTTGATTCCCTTGATTGCCGACCC